TAGACAATTGAAATGTAAATTCATTGAAAATAAGCAATGGTAAAAATTTAGTTCCTCAGGCACACCGGCCATATTTCAAATGTTCAATAGCCACGTGTGGCTCGTGGCTACCATATTAGACAGAACAGGTACAGAACACCTCTGCCATCATAGAGAATTTTCCTCCAGACTGAAGCTGATACTGGCAATTGGCAATAGGGAATTCTGGAAAGCAGAGGGAGCCTGCAATCATCAGCTATACAGGGAGGGATGGAGAAGAGTAGAAGGAACAGAATTCCAAAGGGAAAGTGAAGAGGGACAAGAGACAAACTGCAGATGCTTTGCTAAGGGCCCAGCCCTGGGCCCTTTTGATTTGGGAACTTCCAGCTTTAAGTATCAGAGCTGGAAGTTCCTGACTCAGAAGCCACTGCATGCATCCACCCCACCACAAAGCTCTGTGTGATGACAACTACAAATAAAGGAGCTCCAGGGATGGCTTGGGGCTCCATTTCCTCCACTGCATGGCCCCCGGGTTCTGTGGGCTCCTTGTGAAGCAAGGCACCCTACCCCAAATCCTGAGCTGAGTGGTGCTCAGAGTGGCCCTCACATACCAGAGTCACTGGCCCCCAGCCAAAGGGAAATCACCACCTGGCAGTGTAGGACAGCCCATCAGCACCTGAGAGTCCACTTAGAGCTCCGAGTTCCCAAAGCAAAAGACATTCAGGGGAACCCAATCGCCTTCTCCATCTGGAATTAGACCTCCACTCCGAGAGTCTGAGGGATGTGAGGCATCCAAGGAGTGACTGTCATCTCCTACTGATAACTGCAGTTCCTACTTGCAGTCACATGGACTATTTTCACAGTATGTGGCTGAGGAAAGCAGGGCAGATGTGACCCTTCAAGGCTTTGTATTAGAAGAAATTTGTTCTCAAAAAGAGGAAGAGATATGCCAAAGTCAGTCTGACTGGTAATGGCAGAACCAGCTCTAGAAACCACCCTCCAGCTCCAACTGCAGCTCAGATCACCTCCCTCAGGTGATCAGGTTATTTTGTACCTGTCCAGATCCTTCTCTTTGTCAGCCCCAAAGGGTGTGGCCTCCCCTCAGACCACACTGCCACCCCACTTCACATCCAGTAACTGAGCCCCTGACAGTCTCGTGGACTCTTCACTACCACATGATCCATGCAAACTGCCAAGCGAAGGCAAAGTGGACCTGTGGCTCTCATGAGGACACTAATGTGACTATTCCCAGAAGACCCCTCCTGGACAACTGTTGCTTTCAAGGAAATAGCACTCATGGCGGCCTGTGCACCAGACCTGCTAAATCTGGTTTTCTGTGCATAAGACACAGGAAGATCCTGCTTTCCTGTTTCCCAAAATTTTGAATCTGCAGTGGAAGACCCTTGGAACATGCCAGTGGCTTTGGTTGCTAGAAAAGGATCCAGAAAACTAGATCAGATTAGTCCATTTATAGGGCTTTCAATATTTATGACTTAGTCTCAAATTGGAAAGAGATTTGGGAGCTATATGGGAGCTATTTACCTCCCTGGCTAAATAGCAGATCTGATTCCATATTTTCCTTTGACATAACATGCACGGAAACACGCAGACAGGCAGACCAGCTATCGGGCCTTCACGTCTTTGAAATTGAGCATTAGTACTAAATCAGCCATTGTCCAGAGGACTGGAAAGAGCATATCAAAGGGATTGTCAAGCATAAGAGCAACAGGAAGGACAATGACACAAATGATTACTTAAATGTGCCCAGAAAAGCCATACCCCATAGCAATATACCACTTTGTTCCTTTCCCTTACAGCAACATCCAGATATTTCTGTCAGTGTATCTCTACCTCTATCTCTTTCTCCACCTATCTCTACCTCTATGCCACTGGAGTTGAAAACATACCCAAATCATCAATTAGACCACTCAACTGTCCATGATGAACTTCAGTGAAATCCACCCCCAGGCTAGATGCCCTGCTAAAAGCAGATGAAACAGTGCCTGGGTAACAGTCTCCAAAGAAATCCCAAGAAAACCAGTTCCAGGTTTGATTTAGCAGCTCACAACATCACTCTTTCCATTTGAGGGAGGCTCCTCCTCCCCCCTGTCTTTTCATCAGGGAGGACAGTCTTTCCCAGCAGACCCCAAATGACTTCTGCTATGTCTCAGCAACCAAAACTGAATGGGACCAATCACAGTCAAGTGGGAAATGAAGTTACCACGAATACTTGAGACTGCACTTCCTCAGTTCCTGGGACTGGGCAGCTGATAGCTGGTAAAACTGAGCTCTGTAACAGCAAAAAGGAAATGCAGCCAGCAGTGTGAGCCATACCCCATTACACACAAGGCTGTGACTAGGAATGGAGAGGGGCTTTCTACTCCTCACGCTGGAGGCAGCCTCCCCAGGGAAGCCCACCACCCCTTGATCTGGTCAAATCTGCCCCTTATTGGCACTCATAGCAACTACAAAGTCCTTCTTAATACTTTTGTCACTCACATGTCACAGTTTTACTAGTGTCTCTCTTCTCCAACAGGCTGTAAATATTAAAACCAGGTTGTTTTAGCACAATGCTGTATTCTCAAGGCTCTACCCATTCCTGGTGCATCTTAGATGTTCAGTGACATTTGTTAAAAGATGGAATCATAGATGGATGAATGGATGGATGTGTGTTCTAGCCACTAAACTAGTCAGGTTGGCTATGACTTTTGCTGAAAATGCATCAGAAAGAGCTGAATCTTGGTTTCCCTTTCTCCTCCCTGTTCTCATTCAATGAGTGTGCACTGAAAACATTTACAGCTCTACTCCCAGGCCCAACCTAAGAACCCTGGCCATTTATGCTTTCGATTGCTTTTCTGATAAGAGAGGGCTTCTGAGGGAAGTTGAGTAAAGAAGAAAGAAAAAAGAGTGATTATAAACCAGCAAGAGAGACAAGTAATTATCTTGCTGCATAAGTAACCCAGATGTTTTGAATGAAGAAGCAAGTTTAAAAGAACATATTGTACATGAGTGAGAAAGTGTGATTAAATCAGGTAGAGACACGATGTACTGGCACGAGATGGAGGGAAGTGAGGGTGGAGAGGAGGACCTTGGGACTTGTGGTGGTTTCAGGTTGCAGCAGATACGCCCAGACTTCTGGCCCTAAGCTAGGAGGTAGGCTTCAGCCCTCAAGCCCACTGGCTGCCTGTCTTGCCCACCACCCTTGGGACTCCCGGGCCCTCCTGCTTTCTCCACCCTTTTCCCCTGTTTACCACCCATGGAACTTCCAGACCCCCCTGCTCTGCAAAGCAAAGATGGACAGAAGCTGAGGGGCCAGGGTAGGACATGTGCCCAACTGCTTAAAGAAAACCTTGAACTTTTTCAGTTCCTCTTGAATAAGATGACCCCGCCCAGCTCTGAGGCTCTGTAAAAGTTTTTCCGTGAAATTGCCTTTCACCCACTTGTCAGAACTTAATGGCAAAAAATGCCCTTGGGCATTTTAAATAACCCTAAAATGGATACAATAGTGGAATTCAGAGAAGCAGAGGGAATTCTCAGAAACAAGTGAGCAGGCTGTGGGACATCAAGAACTGTTGAAATCATTCTTTATTGCCTGAGAGGTAGGGTGCATGCTTAGCCACACACACCAGTTAACACAGGGAAGTTGGCTGTCAGCAGCTGCTGAAATGTTTGCCATAACAGAAATAAGCAATCTTTGTATTCTACCCCAGTGGGGACCTTCAAGTATTTACAACATGAAATGGCAGGTTTTCATTAGGAGACTGTTTTTGTGCTGTTAAAAGGAATATAAGATTTTTTTTCCTTCCTCAATTACGAAAGTAATAACTTTTTATTGTACTTAGGCATTTTAGTAGTATTTTATTTTATTACAAAAGCAATAACTTTTATTTTACAATCATCCTCCCAGAGATAACCACTGCTAATATATCGGTGTATATGTATTTCCAGTCTCTCTAATGTGCACATGTAGAGATATATTTATTAGAATTAAGGTCAAATACATCTTTCTGTACCCAGTTCCCTTTTTCACATGTTTCCATATCATTGAACATTTTATTAAAGTATTTTAAAGATTAAGTAATGTTTCATTGTATGCCTATACCATAATCTAGTTAAAAATAATCCTTTGTGATTTAATATTTAGATTTTTTTCCAATATTTTCTTTTTATCAGTATCACTGGGGGGATTCTTTTGTTTTTGCATATCTTTGTTCATTTGGAATAAATTTCCAGAAGTGTATTTTCTGATGCAAAGTGTATCCAAAGTGTGGATACACTTAGTTGGCTGTTACCCATCTGTCCTTGAGTTCAAATTAAATGCTTTTAATATATATTACCAGAAAGATTTTACTAGTTCACATTCAGAAGGCAAGACGTCAATCCCATCAAGCAGCCAGAGGTGTTTGCCAACTTAATGTTACCATCCTGAATCTCACTGGGTTGAGAAGAGAATAAAAGAATAAAATACTTTATATGAAAATAAACTCTGAAATTTGAAAACCCTATTAAAAAACTTGTTACCATTATTACCAATTTTTTAATTACCCAGGATGGAAAAAGTATTATCTCTCTCAACCACATATTCCAATAATTAACAGCCCTTAAGAGAATGAAATCTTTCCCAGTGGGCCCACTTGGCACTCTGCTTGCTGGGCACACACCCAGAGCTGTAAATGGAAGGCTGGGATTATAATGGGGTCTTTTAACCAATCAAGGACATTTGGAGGAATGTATTACAGAAATTCAGGTGTAGATCAGCCCCTCTGGATAGGCACACTCACGAAAAACATCCCAAGCTATTTTCATGTGGGCCTGTGACAACTGACAGAATGACAAAGCAACAAATTTCCCTTCCAAATCATACTGTTCTTGTGCTAATAGTAAAATTAATTTCTATCTCTCAAGCTGAGTTGAGAAGCATAGAGATGCAACAATAGGATGTGAGCCAGGCCAAGGATGAAAATCATTCCAGATAATCTTCCAAGAGGAATGTTTCCAAGGAGAAGGAGAAATTCACTAACCTTTTGGATATTGAGGTCCTAATCTTTTTTTTCCTTTGTTGGTTCCATAAAGAGCTGTCTGGAAGACACACCACCAGTTATATGATGGACAAATAAGTGATACTATTCTTGTAAAGCAGTGAGCTGACAATGATTTGCTGGGTTCTGCCAGGCCAGTGTCCTGGGGGTAAATGTACAGACAGTTGCATAAGTCCACGTGCCTTCTATGAGCAAATACATTGGCCCAGGAAGCCCCAGAACCAACTGAGAATTAGGCCTACTGTTTGTTAATGTACACTGTTGGGATGCTAGACTTTTAAAGAAATAGAGAGAGCTACTTTTATAACTGACAGTAGCATTTGCTTTTTAAGATGGTGAGCATATTATATATTTTTCTAGGTATAGCTGTCTTACTTTGGAAAACAGAAATGCATCATTATTCAAAGCCCAGTTATTGAGCAACCAGATCTTAGCTGGCTTTGTTACCCATCTGTCCTTGAGTTCAAACTGATGCGCATGAACAGCTTTGTTGGAGGAATCAGTAATATCTCAGAACACATCCTTCAGTAATATGGAGGGCCTGTTGATTAGTGGGAAGAGTGTGTGGCAGAACTCAAGGTCAAGTGCTCTTTCAGTGGGTCTGTAATTCAGAATAAAGTATTTATATGGCCTCATCAAAATATTCAGTCAATCATTCATTCAATGTTGTTGAACACCTATGGACAATGTATAAATGTGACAATAAGTGGGGGCTGAAAATGTAGAGGAAACAAGACAAGCTATGATGGTATTCAAGATGAAACAGAGGCAGTAGGCCAGTTATCAGAGGTTTCCCTCAGATTCACAGCTCTTCTACTTGGTTAAAGATAGCAGTTACTCAGCTGCACTGATCGTCCCTGGATTAGTCGGGCTGAATAAGGCTAGCTCTGGTAACATTCTGCCTCACTAATCCCAGAGGCTTAATAACCAAAGGTTTATTTCTCACCCATGTCAAGAGTCCAGTGGACATCAGCAGGAGATGCAAGATCCTTCCATCTGTTGGCTGGACTTAGCCCTTAGGGCCTAGAAGTCCTCACCCTCATCTTCCTCTGGCCAGTAATGGATCACATACGGAAATAGAAAGAGAATGAGAATGTGTGAAAATGTTTAAAAACCAGGACTAGGTCAGAAGGATATCATTTCTGCCCACTTTGAAGGGACACAAATTCAATCACCTGACCCGATCCAATTATAGGGGAGTCAATGAGGTGAGCCTCGTGTGCCCAGAAAAAAAAAGGAGAACCAAATGGATGGACACTAGCAGTCTTAACTACTCCTGTGAATGGTCCCCCAGGATTCTAACTGAGGTGGGAGGAAAAAAGAAGAATGAGAGAGGACAACTGCTTTGACACATTCTTGAGAATTTCTTCTTAGATTTGTCAACTCTGTCAGATATGCACACAGCCCACTCTCAATGCTCTGAAGACTCTTCCCATCAGGCACTTGGCCCAGGCCCTTCAGCTTTCCAGGACCCGTTGCCCCACATGTGAAAGTAGGAGATGGGATCTGAATCCTTTCAAGTCTTTTGGCTCCTTTCATATCCAAAATGCCATGATTCTAGAACTCCTGCTATTCATTTCCTCCTAGACAAACACGCAGAGAGCCAGAGAGGCCATGCCAGGAAGCCAATAATTTATTTTTTATTTTAATTTTTAACCTCCCTTCTCACTTCCCAAGCACATTTCTAAAAATTAAAATACGCATACAACAGACAAGGTTGTTACCAATATAATAGTATTTTTTATGGCAAAGTAAAATTGTTTTGTGTTTGAATGAATAGCACATTCACACACACATACATAACACAAAAAGATCCCTCTGTGAAAAAATAATCTTGTTAGAACAGGCTTGCAAAATATGTTCTCCTCCTACTACTCTTTCCTGTATTCATTCTGCAGTGATAACAAATTGTAATGTCTCAGTGGCTTATGACAGCATTTACTTTTTATTCACTTCCCATAAAGACAGTGGATCAGCTGCAGGTTGGCTGTAGTTCCGCTAGGATTGGCTGGACTCAGCTGGACCCATCGGGGTTTACCTGCCTTCTCATTCTGGAACCCAGACTGAGGGCATAGCCATCATCTGGGACACCCTGAGATCATATAGAAAACAAGAGCAAGAAAACCTAAGCCAAACCATGCGATTGCATGTAAGGCTTCTGTTTGGACACAGCAAAAACCATCATAACCACTCACATTTCCTTGGCCAAAGCTTTTCACATGGCCAAGACCAAAGCCATTGAGATGGGATGTGTATTCCTCCCACAGGACGCAGGAGGATCCCAAGGACAAGCGGCAGGGCTACGTAGCCCTCTGGTTTACAGCTGGGGGCTGCAATCTGTCCACTTCCATTGAGGTTTCTAAATGCAAAGTCCTCCTTCTGCTCTGGAAAGTTCTTGGTATGGAGAGAGTTAGGAGGGAGAAGCAGTCTGCAATGGAGATTTGGAGGTATTTTAGCAAACTCATTTCATCCTTATCACAGCTCTGTGAAGTTGGTCCTTGAATTATTTCCATTTTACACGTGAGAAGACACAGAGAAGTTAAATAAGTTAACCTAAAATCACACACTAATAAGTGGCAGAAACAGGATTCCAAAGCAGATATGCAGCTCCAAAACCCCTGGGATGTAGGCCACTGTCCTAGATGCTATCCTGCATAATCTCTTCTCCTGTGGGGACAGGGAAGTGAGCCACATATGAAAACAGACAGAGCTAATAGAATCAGAGGGCAGTGAATAATGAGAACATGTGAAGCCTTGGCACTGTGCAGAGATTAAACCTGGCCAACACCAAGAACATGGAAGGGAAAAGAAAGTACCCACCTTCTTGCGCTCTGCTCTCTAGGGACAAAAGCACCAGATCAGGAGCAGCCGGGCCTGGAAACCAGTCATTACCCCCAAGATGGGCAGAATAGGACTGCAGAGGTAGGAGGGGAAGGTGTAAGCTGAGCTGTGAGGGGATAGTGTCAAGGGATTCTGCCAGCAGTTCACAGATGGCCCGGCCATACCATAGGCGAGCTGTGGCCAACAGAACATGGGGATGCCGGCCAGCTGGAGGAGTCAGCCGCTGGTCTGGGCAATGGGCAGAGATCCAGAACCTGATGGGCCTGGTCATAGAAGAACTAGGGTCTTGACAGTTAACATGGCAGGTTGCCAGTACCAGGCACAGGGCAGGACCCAGTGCAAGGTTTCCCTGGGTTTTCCTTCTGTGCCCAGAGGAACAGACATCTGCCTCCAAGCCCACAGGTAGGACTCAGGCGGCCCCAGCTGTGGAGGCCTGTGGGCAGAGGTAGCCAGGCCGTCAGGGCAGTCTCCAGGCTATATATACAGACACACACTAAAATGTTCTATCACAGAAGCCCCAGACTGCAGTGGGAGGTGCACTTTTGAGAGTCAAGGAGGGCTGAGCTTTTTCCATTTCTTTAAGTTATAGTTAGGTACATTTGTTTGTTTTGTTTTCATTTTAGTTCGTGTACCACATTTAGAAAGCTGCTTAGTTAAGCAATTTGCCCCACCCCCACCCCCACCACCTCTGTTCTGGTTGTCAGAAGGTAGGTTAAGTTAGCTCAGGAGAGGGGTGCAGAAGGGGAAGCAGGGAACCCATCTCCATGAGAGGAGAAGGAGGAGGGAGAGGAGCTGGGGCTCACAAGGCATCTCCCTGTCAGGGGCTACCTGGAAAACTGCACTGAGCAGGCCTGAAAGTTTCAGCTACACCCACATCCTCCTTACATGTAAGAACATTGTGTCCAGAGAGGTGGAGTTTGGGGTGTGCAGTAAATATTTAGCAAGTGCCCCGCAAGGGAAGAAAAAGAAATCCTCACCAGTAGAATTTGCCAATTCCCATGGTATAAATACTCCCACTATGGCTCATTTCAAGCCACCAACAGGAAGCCAAGTGGCTTATGACAATCCTGAAAATATAACGACTGCCTCCTGGTGGAGCCCAGCCCAGAGCACCCACGAAGAGGGTCCCCTTGACCACGCAGCTCCTGACACACCGAGCCCTCCTCACAGGAAGTACCCCGCTCAAGTCTTTCCTTTTAGGAAAATGCCCTTTCTAGATGCAGAGACTAGAGGAGTCCATTCTGCCATGGCCACCAGACCTTCCTCCCCTCTCTTTTTCTCTAGAGCAGGGCTTTCAAACTTCAGCTGGCATAAGAATCTCCTAAGTGCTTGTTAAAAATGCTCCTCCTGATAGATACTTGCAACCAAGAGATACTAAATAAATCCTAGAGATCTAATGCACAGCTTAGCAATTTTGGACAGCAATGCCATATTATAAACTTCAAAATTGCCGAGAGATTAGATCTTCATCGTTCCCATAGCAAAAAAGAAATGATAATCATGTGATGTGACAGAAGTGTTAGCTAGCACTAAGGTGATTTACATATTGGCATATATAAATGTATCAAATCAACATGAGTACTAAACTAACACAAAGTTACATGTCACATACATCTCAATTTAAAAAAAGTTTTTAAATTTAATTCCCCTTTCTAGGCCCAAACCACTAAAAAATTTTGACCCATTATATCTGGGTGAGCAGTGCCCAAAACAGACTCAACCTGGAAAACTGCACTGAGCAGGCCTGAAAGTTTCAGCTACACCCACATCCTCCTTACATGTAAGAACATTGTGTCCAGAGAGGTGGAGTTTGGGGTGTGCAGTAAATATTTAGCAAGTGCCCCGCAAGGGAAGAAAAAGAAATCCTCACCAGTAGAATTTGCCAATTCCCATGGTATAAATACTCCCACTATGGCTCATTTCAAGCCACCAACAGGAAGCCAAGTGGCTTATGACAATCCTGAAAATATAACGACTGCCTCCTGGTGGAGCCCAGCCCAGAGCACCCACGAAGAGGGTCCCCTTGACCACGCAGCTCCTGACACACCGAGCCCTCCTCACAGGAAGTACCCCGCTCAAGTCTTTCCTTTTAGGAAAATGCCCTTTCTAGATGCAGAGACTAGAGGAGTCCATTCTGCCATGGCCACCAGACCTTCCTCCCCTCTCTTTTTCTCTAGAGCAGGGCTTTCAAACTTCAGCTGGCATAAGAATCTCCTAAGTGCTTGTTAAAAATGCTCCTCCTGATAGATACTTGCAACCAAGAGATACTAAATAAATCCTAGAGATCTAATGCACAGCTTAGCAATTTTGGACAGCAATGCCATATTATAAACTTCAAAATTGCCGAGAGATTAGATCTTCATCGTTCCCATAGCAAAAAAGAAATGATAATCATGTGATGTGACAGAAGTGTTAGCTAGCACTAAGGTGATTTACATATTGGCATATATAAATGTATCAAATCAACATGAGTACTAAACTAACACAAAGTTACATGTCACATACATCTCAATTAAAAAAAAGTTTTTAAATTTAATTCCCCTTTCTAGGCCCAAACCACTAAAAAATTTTGACCCATTATATCTGGGTGAGCAGTGCCCAAAACAGACTCAGTGCCCCAGGACCCACTGCTTTGGGAGGACCTGGATCCCCACAGCACCCAGTATCAGAGGTGCCTTTGGGCAGAGGGAGTATGCTGAGGAAGCCCTTTGTCAGGAAGAGGGCTGCCTTCAAGGCAGAGCCCATGGGCCCAAGGTCCTCTGACCTTTCATCCCAGCCATAGCTGGACTGGGTTTTGTACATCTGGTGCTCCCAGAATGGGTCATTACTTCTCTGTAGCCATCAGAAGGGGAAAGTGTGGTGGTTAACAACCCAGACCCTCACTGTTGAGTTCCTCTCCCTCCATACTTCACTCACCATGTGACCTTGGACCGCTCACAGAGCCTCTCTGAGCCCCAGTGTCCTCATCTGCAAAATGGGCATATTAATGGTATTTACATCTCAGGCTTGTTGTCAGGGTGAGACATGTAGTATGTCCTATACAAGGGTTTGCTGATTTTGTCAGCTCAAGGTTAGAGCACACTAGGGACTTTTAAGAGAAGGTGGTTGGTTTAGGCCACTTACCCCTTTGAGCTTCAGCTTCTCACCTTTGAAATGGGAGCAATGAGGTAGTAGTGGTAGAATAATAAGAACAGTAATTGTTTCCCTCCCCACTGCACAGGATTATTCTAAAGATGATGACAGTATGAAAGTGCTTCGCACACTGCTGCTCACCACATAAATACAAGTTTTGTCCTCTTAGCTTTGATATTGTTAATTTGAGGCAGGACTCAAGAGTCTAAAGACTGGCTTCCCGTTTCTGCTATACTGCCTTTCCTGTGTGATAGAAGACAGAGCAATTACCTTTCTGACCCTCAGCATGCTCTCCTGTCAAGTGGAGCCACCTAGCCGAGGCATTGCGTATGCTAGGTGACATTATGTGGATCAGTGGTTCCAGACTGGAATCATCTGGAAGGTCATTTTTAAGTGTCCATTTGCCAGTGGGCCCAACTCTGAACCAATTAATCAGAATTTCTGGGGACAAGGCACAGCAGTAGGTACTTTTAAGAAGTTCCCTGCATGGTCCTAACATGAATCCTGGACTGAAAAACCACTGATGTCTGTGGAACAGCTTTGTAAACAGCAAACCACAATCCACAACTGATGGATGTTTTTAAACTGTTCTTAATTGGTTGGTGATCCCATGAGGGACTAGTTACCCTGAAAATCAGGCCAACATGTATTTTCCAACATCTGCCTGAAGTGTGCCCTGGCCAGGGAGAATTGAAACTTACCCAGGTCCTATTCTTGCCTTCCCGCCAAGCAGGCTGAGCGAAAACAAACTTCCTTCAAGTCCAAGACGCTGCTGGGATGCTGTGGAGAGAGAGTGGGGTTGGCATCATCATATTTGGAAGTGATGCTTCCAGCTGTGGGGGTCTCATTCAGTGTTCTGTTTTATTAAGGTGTCTCTAGTGCAAAGGCGCCTACATCCCTGTGTGGCAGTTTACCCCAGTTAGGTTAGGAGCCGACAGATCTTTCTAGTTAAGTCCCCATATGCGGTACCAACTGCGAGTCAGCTCTGATTCTGACAAAGGCTCTCTGTGCTAACCAGCTACCTCTCAGGCACACAGCCACGGCCACGCACAGCACACTCCCTCTTCTTGGGTGCCTTTTCCCAGAGCAGAGTCTTCGAGAAGTTCTTCCCTTCTGGGTTCATGGGTGGGGAGGGAAGGATGGAGGGAGGGAGGGGGACTGGAATCAGAGGTGGATATTTTTTATCAATCCAAAATACTATTTCTAATAGCAGTCACACCATTCAGAATAACTTATTTGAAACATGTTTTTTCCAAAACAAAACTTAGCAAATAGTTTGTCTTTATTACTCTTTTCATTATTCCATCAAATTCACGTGTTGCAAAATTGTCGGCTTTTTCTATTTTTTTCCTTTTGGGTAAATATGTAAGTTTATCCACTTCCAAGCAGAAACTTCATCAACAGGTTTTTTAATCCCCACAAAAAAAGATATTCTCAAGTTTAATTATAGGGTTTCAAAATTAAGTGTCATATGCAGTTTAAACTATTAAAATTTATGTTTTGAATTTTTTTAGTTTTATTTTTTCAACTTACTTAAACCAAAAAACAGTTTACCCATTTCTCCTACCCCTATACCTCTGCCAACCACCAATTTTGACTCTATATATGAGCTTAGTTTTACATATATATATATATGTGTGTATATATATATTAGATTTCACATATATGAGAAATCATATGGCATTTATCTTGACATGGTATCTGTCCTACCATCTGAGTCTTGATCAGTCTTAGCATGATCCAAAGTTTGCCAAAACTAGAAACAACTCAAATGTCCATCAAGAGTAGAATGAAGAAATAATGATCTCTCATGCAATATAATATGAATGAAGATGAATGAGAAAAAGTGAAAATGAATTTTTGGAAGCCATATATAACAAGGATGAATCATATAACAATGTGAAATCAAAGAAGCCAGACATACACACACTCAAAAATGCACATTATATGAGTCCATTACTATAAAGTCCAAAAATAGGCAAACCTAATTTGTAGTGTTAGAAGAGTGGATCCCATTGAGGAGTGATGGGGTGCAGATCAGGGAAGACACCAGGGGGATTTCTCAGGGGTTGTTAGTGTTCCATTTCTTGACCCAGTTGTACATGGGCATATTCATTTTTTGATAATTTATTGAGAGGAATATTTATGGTTTGTGTATATCATATGTGTGACAATCTTTAAGATATCCGGGTCTTGGACTGGGCCCTGCTTGTCCATTGGGAATTGGGCTTCCAAGAACTGAGTCCTCAGAATCCCTGCTTAGTATGCTCAGTCCATTTCATAGAGTCAGGGGAACTAGGTCAAAAATCCAAGTAGAATATTGGGACAACAGTGACAGATGGAGCAGAACAGGGTGGGGACTGCACTCACTTCGAATCACCTGATACCAAGTCCGGGAGCAAGTTTCAGAAAATAGTAGAGCTGAGATGACTGGTGTTCAGGATGGGCTCTGAGAAGATCAGAATATATAGACGGATTCTGCCAGTGGGTAGACAGTGGGGAGTGATGTCTTGGGAGTTCAAATCTACCTTTTAACTCTCAGGAGCCACACTGCCTCATCTTCTATTGATACACCCTTCTACTGTGGACAGTAGGATCAGTCCTCACCATGGGACTGTGGTCTTGATTTTCCTTCTGGGAAGAATAGCTCTTGTTTCTTAGAAACGCAACTTGCCAGAGCATACATTGCCAGACTTCTTTCTCAACTGTTGGCCTGAGAAGAAGAGACCTGGTTTAATGGAAGAGGGCAATGAAGGGGAGATTTTTCAAAAGAGGGTCTGAACAAGATCAGCATTGATGCAGAGCAAAATGAGGAAGGAGGAGGGTTGGTGGAGGTCAGAGCATGGTGGGAAGGCATAATGGAGTAAGGTAATGGGGGAACATAAAGATGAGAGACTCTTTGAAGATTCAGACCAAAGAAGCCAAGGTAGCTGGTCATGGGCAAGGTATAGGGACATCTGGATTGCTGCAAGCCTGCCGCTTGGTTCCATGTCTTGCATTTTTAAACCATAGTTTTACCCAGGGTGTCGGTGAGGAGTGAGGCTGAGATAACTATCTTTGAGTGCGGGGCTGACTTTTTCCTAACTGGACTCCAAATAATTGGAGCTATAACCATTTGCTGCTGTAACCACCACTAAAGCAGACTGTGGACTCTCTTTGGGAGTTCTAGCCCTGACTGGGGTGAATACAGAGGACCCTTGATCAAGATTCTTCTTGCAGTGGGGGTGGAGGGACTCAGAGAAACAAAAAACAAATTCACCACCAGCCTGGTGCCCACCAGTCATAAAAAAATGGTCAGTGGACAAGCAGAAGTGGACAACTAAGAAGTGCTTAGTTCTGGGAAAAGCCACAAAATAATCTGGGTTAGCACTGGACATAGTGCCCTTAGGAGTGAGCAGTGGTGATTATCTTTCTCTCTGAAGGTTTACTTACCACACTGTATTTGCCTTGCTGGGGATTAAGATAGGGCATGAAGTTGGGAAATCACTATTGAAACACAGTAACAACACTCCTGTATGTCTGATTCTCTGGCATGGGAGTTTCAAGGCATCAGAAAGTACCTGGTGGCTAGTAATCAGATTCCAGGATATTTTATGAAATCCCAGAAGTGGTTTCTTTTTAGCTCATAAAATACTTCCTGAAAGTATTTTTATAGCAAAGCTTTATTTAGGAGAGTTCCTTTGAGATTGAACCAGAGCACCACAAATATAGTGCCAACAATATCTATTCCTTCCAGCCCCCACAGGCATTTCTTTCGCAGAACACGGGGCAGAGCACCTGACCTTGCCCAAAAGGTGTGATTTACAGCACATTGATTTCAAGCATTTTGATGCAATGCCCCAAAGAGCAGAGAAGTCTTAATAAAAGGATATCACAGAACCTCTCCAGCCAGGGGTCAAAATCCCCAGATCTCCAGGACAAAGAACTCTACCAGGGCTAACTGGACCTAAGGAAAGCACAGCAGCTGAGATCCTTGGTTACATGTAGGACCCAAGGCTGGTTCCCCTCTGTGCCTCAGCTCTCCTGGCCCCACACCTGCCCGAGGCTGGCTGCGCTGCTTTCTTCGGGTCAGCTGCTAGTCTCCACTCTCTTCCCTGTAGAAGGTTGCTCTCTCCCAATGGCATGTGGCTGTCAATTCACTAAACCTCTGTGTTCTTCAGTTTCCTCACCTGTTCAAAGGGGATGGCATTAACCGGTGCTCTCCATGGGGCCTTCGTGAGGACTAAGTGGAATGTGAATGATCAGGATACTCAGCACTGTGCCTGATCCAGGGTAAGGGCTCCATATGTGGTAGCATGATTTTAAACATATTATGAGACTTTAACAACTTGATTTAAATTAGATGACCCCAAGCAGTAAGACCCAGAAAGTCCTTTAGAATGTGCAGTCTGGGACAGGCAGGGGACAGGGACAGCATTTGGAAGGAATCTGAAACCCCATAAAATTTAAAGGCAAACGTAAGCCATGTGTTTCCGAGAATTTACACTTAATTAATCAAATCTATTGTTTGCTGAGAGCTGTTTGGAGTCCAACAAGACTAATAAGCATTTTTCCGAATGTCTTTAAAAATCCTTTTTTCTTAGAAGAACATTTAGAGGCTTTGAAAGTTGTTCCAAGGTAGAAATAATAATGTTAATAATAAATTGCTCAAAACTCTCAACCCCTGCAGGTTCAAAATTTACTTAATGCTCCAAACTCAAAGGATTGAATTACTACTGGGGTTTATGGGCCTTTTCCAAAGGGGAGAAAGGAACCACGCAGAGCCTCACTTGAGTTCATTGTGTGGTTCACGGCCATGCCCATAGCCCAGAAGATTTCCTTCTCAGAGGAAGCACCCTGGCATCAATGAGGTCAGTTTGAAGTCATACTAAGTGTACTGAGGGTACCGACTTTTCAGCTTGGCTTACTTGGGGCTAGTGGATGAAAGCCCTCCCGCCAAACAGTTCTCTTGCAGGTCATACAATCTATCGCACATGAAATGGGTGATTAATTGTTACGTGACTGTGAGGTGTGAAGAGAACAATTTTTCTTTGGGGTGTGTGCAGAGCTGACTGCTGCACGGCTGCCCTTGAGCATTGTCATCTGATGACCTCTGGTGGTGGAATTTTTCCCAGCATGTGTGCATCGATGTTCCTGAGCCAAGTCTTCAAACCATGTTACATTTTCCTACATTCCTTTCCTCCTGTTTTGTCATTCACATTAAGAAGGAGCAGGAATAGAAATCAGTTGCAAACACCCAGAATAAAGTGGTGAATGTGCCTAACCAGACTGCCATTTCACAGAAGTTGCCTGGTGCTTTCTCTTTCAGTGAACCTCTGATACATTTCTTGCGGAAGGAGATGGGAGCCAACATGAAGGGGAATGTGGCATCCACAATTGTTTCCATTTTGCTACTTTTTCTCAACACCCATCTTCTGAACGGTAAGTTAGAGACTGTCCTACTCTCTTTAATTCCCTGGGGTGTTTATGGAGAGAATACAGAGTCCATTACAGTCCTTTTGCAATGCAGTTATGGGAAATGAAAATGTCCATGTTACCTGCTGCTCTTGAAGGATTTGCAATATTTTTGGCATTAAATAAATGCAAGAATTAATGCAATTAATGCAAAATCTTGCCACTATGCTCCAACTTTCATCCCCATTTCGGGAGTGCAGTGGAACAGCTGTTCACACGACAAGACAGGGTTTCATCCAGGTTCTGTCACTAACTAGCTGTGTAACCTTAAACCAGTTACCCCGTCTCCCTGGATTTCCACATTTTCAAAGTGAGAATAGTGATGTTCCCACCACCTCAAATGAAATAATGTATATGAAAAATCTTTGAAAAACTGTAAAAGGATCTAAGAGATTTCTGTGACATGGTGGGAACAGGTACAGCCAAGTCTATGATCTGTGCTATGGGCGGAATGAAGTCCACAGCCAAATTAGTGAGTGGGCCTGTGTGTACAGATTCCTGTGTCAACCCCTGTGTGTTTCTGGGGGTGTATACTTTTGTATGTACCTGTGTCTATGTTAACCTCTCTACATATGCCTGGTTGCAAATGCTTCTCTGTGTCTACCTGTGTGAATATGCATCTATGTGAGTACCTGTATGTACATGTATGTTTCTGTGTGTATCTGTGTGTGCTTCTTTAAGTATGCATCTCTGTAAATTTCTGTGTGTGTGTGTGTGTGTGTGTGTGTGTGTGTGTTGTGTGACGTGGGCTCGATGTGAAAGTGTGTATGGTACCTATGTGGTTGTCACTCTGTGTACATTTTATGGGGATAGTGGGACTGTCCATTAATTTTAACTTTCTCCTCTAATAGGCAAAAAGAACATTTGAGTAATTATAATTTCACAACTTTACCTTCCTCTCTTGAGTTTCCTAGAGATACTATTAATAATGAGTGAAATGTGAAAGAGATGTTTTCATAAAGAGCAAAAGGAAAGTAGATATCAGTATAATCTATAGGGAAACTTTAAGCACTCAGATAATCAGCAATTGCCTTAAATAACTTCTGAGTATGCTGATAATTAAACCATTGAATTTTGGTAACCTGTAAAAATGAACAATGTTATAAATATTGGCAGTGCTGGCCCCAGGCTAGCTGGCATGGAGTTTTAAGGTTTTCTGTAATTCTTTAATAGTTATCAGCATGGAGTGGGAGCTGGGAGCTGGAGTGTAGCTCAGCTCCAGCTCACATTATCAGCCTGCTGCTCTCTGCCCCAGCCTGTGCCCATGTCATACTAGTCCATTAAATTCCGCTTTCTAGTCCACTTTGCCCATGGCCTCTCCCGTCCCCCATGTTCTCCTCCAAACTCGCCCTTTCTGATCTGGTGCTTGGCTAGACGTTCTAGACTAGGAGCCAGCAACAAGGGGTGGGGACAAGTGTGGGAGAAACACCTGAGAGCTCCCCTTTCTGCTCCTGATGTCCTGAACTAAACTCCTGGCCGTCCAGCTCAGCCCAAAGAAGGACCTTTTGGGGCTGCAGGGCTGGGAGTGGCGGGGCTCCCTGGCCCAGCAGCATCCGGGCATACCCAGAGCCTCTCCTTTCCTCTCTGGACCTGACAGGTAAGGAAGAGAAGCAGGGGCCAGCTCACCAAGAGCTCTGGGGATGAGGTGACTGAAACACTCCATCCTCTTGACATTGTATTTCCCACATTGCCCCATTCAGACCTGCTAGCATCCAGATGGGACTGGATGCAGTTCTCAGATAGTCATGACAGCTGGGACCTGGGAAAGCAGACACCCACTTCTCCACCTCTTGCCATGCCTCGTCCCCCTTAAACAGCCATGAAGCTACAAGGAAGCCCTTTTCCACCTCACCACAAAAAGAACCAAGGAGAGGGGGAAATATAAATGAAAAGGAACTACGAACCATGACTTATTAATTGGGGGCAGGAGAATGGGGAGACAGACTGTGACACTGGGTCACAGGTCATAGCTGAACAGAATCCAGAAAAGTGAAGGGAAACAGGAAGGAAAAGAGATGACGAGCACAGAGCGGAAGGGAGCCACTGCAGGAGGAGCATCGGGGATACAGTGAAAGAACACAGAGATCAGAGACTGAGCTGACTGTGTGGGAGCAGCAGAAAGACAGAGGCTGGTGAGCAGAGGGGACCAGGGCCGGGGAGTGCCACATCAGCCCCGCGCGTCCCTGAGCTCATGCTGGGGAGAAGGCTTGTTACGGGCACCCCCATACTGTGGGAGGGTGCACCTTAATCTTACCTCCAGCAAATTCTGGCTTTTTCTAGGACAATCACCTCCTGGAAAACCTGAGATCTTTAAATGTCGTTCTCCTGAAAAGGAAACATTCACTTGCTGGTGGAAGCCTGGGACAGATGGAGGACTTCCCACCAATTACACTCTGACTTACCGCAAGGAAGGGTAAAAAGCTCTCTTTCCTATAAAACCCCACATGGGGTTCTCACCCTCAGGCCATTCTGAATTAGAATCATCACACTTCCCTGGATTGACACTAATAAAGCTCATACAAGTCAAGCTTCCACATTCTCCTGTTAAGGCCCTTGAGGCGCTCTCTCAGTGGGCGTGCGTTGGCGTGCGTTCATCTGCCCCTGCCACCACACAGCACAATAAGCAGTTTCATTGCCTGTGGCAAGCCAAGCTGGCAGCTCAAGGCCACATATAAGTGTTTCCTAAGAGCTAATTAACTTCAGATGCTCATCCGTAAACCTGGGTCATTCACAATTTTTTTAATAATCTTGACTTTCATAACATAAGAGGATTATCTAGTAATCCTTGACAACCACGGTATGTTAGCTTTTCAAACTTGTTTCATGCCCAAGAAAATAAAAAGAGCCCTATAACGACAGGTAGGTGAGGATTTTTTCCTTAGCAAATTGTGGGTCCAGGATCCAGGATCTTCCAAAGGGCGTATTTGGAGCTCGGTCAGCGGTACAGACTGAACAAGGTCACCTCTGGGTGAGGATTTTGTTTTATTCACAACAAGACCCTCTTGGAAAGCCTGAGAAAGCTGTATTCTTCCCCAGTGAAGAAAACATTTACTGGTGGCAACAGCTGGCCCACTTCCCAGTGACTGCACTCTATTGTACACAAAGCTGTCATCCCTTCTGGGACCCATAGAGGTGTCAGTGTAAACAGATTTCTGGAACACAAACTCAAACGAAATCAAAGAAGCCTGCACACCTTGTGGTGTGTCTTGCATTGAAGCCCCAAGTCTAATGTGAGCTGCCTAATGAGCCACCTAGGCCTGAAATATGTCTTCCCTCGGTCCCTTCACCCTGTTGCTGACCTAGTACAGTCTGAAATATGCTGACACAAGTCTTTATCCTCTTTACTTTTTTTCTAAAATGCAATATAATTCAACACCTATGTGCCATAAATGCTATATTGTACATGGGCCCCCAGTGAGTTTGTATGCAGGGGAAAGACCCATTTCCTGAGATGACCCAATGGCATCTAAGTGTGGGGGAGCCTTGACAATTGAAAGTTCAAGTATTTATTGCCAGAGAGTGTATATGACAAAGCCCATAGAAACTGACAGAAAAGAAGGGTTGATGAAAAGCAGAGTTGCTGAGGCTCTGAAGTAGCCTGTCCACTCCCTTCTCCAGCACTTTCTTCCCTGTCTCCCAGCTGATATGGGGCCACAGAAGCTTGGGGAGCCATATTTCAGCTCTGGTTTTTGCACTTGGAATGCCTGGTCCCCATAAGCCAGTTGTAGTGATCCATTCAGAAAAAACTAGATTCTTTTTACTACTTTCTTATTCATTCCTAATATATTACTCATTACAGAGAGACACTCACCCATGAATGTCCAGACTACAAAACCAGTGGCCCCAACTCCTGCTATTTTAACAAGAAGCACACCTCCATATGGACAATATACATCATCACAGTAAACGCCACAAACCAGGTGGGAAGCATTTCCTCGGACCCACGTTATGTGGATGTGACTTATATAGGTAAGGGAAGGGTGATGGGGAAGGAATTTGTTACTCCATTATGGATTTGCCAAGACTCAAACTCAGTTTGAGTATTCTTGGACATTTGGATGGGTCCCTGAAGAGAAAGATGAGAAAATTTACAGTATGTTCTTATCAATGGAATGTTTTAAATCAGTTTTGATCTGGTCATTCCTGACAGTAGACCTGGTACTCAGGTTCCTGTGTCCCTGTGCTTTCACTTGATCCTTCCTCCCATCCTCTGGCACCCAGAAAGAATGTTCTATTTCTGCTTCCTTTATCCCTCCAGCCGTTCTCCTGCAATCCATGTCTCCTTCTCCTTTGGCAAGGCTGGGACTTCTTTTCTATCTCTCCATGAAAGACAGATGCTCCATGGAGTAGCAGCTCCTAGAAGGGGTTTTCTGCTCCCACGCCCACAGGAATTGCTCTAAATGCCTTGCGCCAAATTCAATTCTCAATATACATGTGCTCCTTAACAACTGGATCTGTTACTTTTTAAGAAAGAATTTGGGGAGTAAAATGCTACTTGAACAGCAGGCTGAAGGCTGACATCATAAGGACAATTAACAAAGTAAAACAAAGTCAACCTGAGAGCTGCTTCTTGCTTTGCATGATCAACACTGAGCTGCAGGGCAATTAGGCATAACTGTAGTGGCCCGTACAGTTTAGCAGGAATGACAGAGTGAATCCTGGACAAGAGATGGTTTGGCCAGGACTGGTTCAGCCCTCATCTTGGATGATAATATAGGGAATAGCTAATTAATTTCAAGATCACCAAGCCTTCCTACTTACCTAAAGCCACACAACAAGCTAGTATTCTCAAGTGTTCACTGACATATCATCCCGTTGGCATGTTATCCTCTGAAATTAGAAAATCTTCCAACATCAATGAATGTACACTTGAATATTTTCTCCCCCCCCAGCAAATAACTGGAACAAGTATGAATGGGGAGAGGCTTAGGACAGTCCTCCCCCCAAAGAATTATCTGGTCCAAAAATACAAATAATGCTGAGGTTGCGAAATTTTTGTTCAAAGGATTCACCCTGAACATTTTACTTGCATTTTTGTCCAAATATTTTTTGATCAGAGGTATTTCTCCATATTATGTTTAACTTAAAACAGTGTAACTGATGTTTTTTTTTAGCAAGTACATGTAAAATAATCTTTCTTAGGTATTTACTTAGTGATGTATAAGCATTAAAATTAGTGGCAAATTTTCTAAAGTTCCTTTTGTAGGCAACTATAGGTTATAATGCCAAGTGCACTCATTCTTATCCCACCTGGTATGGAGACTGATTTGAGGAGGTAAGAAATCAACAGAGAAAATGTTACTGACCAACAGAACAGAGACTAGGGTCAGTGCCCAAGACACCTCACTTAGGAGGCATGCACAGACCTGTACTTGAATGTTCACTTTCCTGAAAGTAAGTGCCTCCTTAGTTTTTTTTTATTGTAGCAAAATACACATAATACAAAATTCACCATTTTAACCATTAAAGTGTGCCATTTGATGGTAGTTCATCCACAATATTAAGCAACCACCAACATTGTCTAGTTTCAGAATACTTTCATCACTCCAAATGGAAACTTCATATACATTAAACATTACTTCAGATTCCTCCGCCCCCTTTACCTTAGCTCCATAGCAACCACTAATCTGCTTTTTGTCTTGATAGATTTACCTATTTTGGATATTTCATATGTATGGAATCATACAGTATATGGTCTTTTGTGTCTGGCTTCTTTCACTTAGCATAACGCTTTCAAGATTCATCCATGTTGTAGTACATATCAGTATTTCCTTCCATTTTATGGCTGAATAGTGTTCCATTATATGGATATTGTCTATGCATTCATCAGTTGATGGACATTTGAGCCATTTTCACCTATTGACTATAATGAATAGTGCCTCTATGAACATTCAGGTCCGAGTTTTTGTTTGAACACCTGATTTCAATTATTTTGAGTATATGCCTAGGACTGAAATTGATGGATGACATGGTAATTCTATGTTTAACTTTTTCAGTATCTTCCAGAGTTTTGTACAGTGGCTGTACCATTTTACATTCCCTCCAGCAATATATGAGGGTTCTATTTTCTCCAACATTCTCACCAACACTTGTTATTTTTCATTTTGTGAATTCTAGCCATCCTAAAAGGTGTGAAATGGTATTTATCATGGTTTTGATTTGCACTTCCCAGATGACTAATGATATCAAGCATCTTTCATGTGCTCATTGGCCATTTGTGCCTCCTTAAATTTTATGACTTGCTTGCTTCAACTTAATTCCAATTCTGCTGACCAGTGCCTCATATCAAATGTGAAGTGTTCCATAACCAGAGTGAAGTAAAATGATAGAAAAAGCTTCCTGTAAGTCATATAGTTCTGTGTTTGAATACCACTTTTACTAAATGCAGAGTTTCTTTCATATCTGCAGTTGAACCAGACCCTCCTGTGAACCTGACTTTGGAATTAAAACAGCCAGAAGACAGAAAACTCTACCTGTGGATGAAATGGCTTCCACCTACCCTGGTCGACGTAAGATCTGGTTGGCTCACACTCCAGTATGAAATTCGCTTAAAACCAGAGAAAGCAGCTGAGTGGGAGGTGAGTCAGCCAGAAGCTTTTGGAAGGAACCAGATCCTTTGGTAAAGAAGAAGCCTCACAGCTGAGAACAGGTCATTCCTCCTTATTTTTGGGCCACTGTGTTCCCTCCTGATGACATCGTGACCCACCCCAATGTGGAAGGGCCTTCTCCCTTCCTTGGCAGTGGATGAGGGCTCATTTTCACAGCTCTCCCAGGGCTGCTTCCTTGCACCGAGCAGCTTCTTCTGCCAGGTTAGCTCCTACTCACCTCCCCCAGGATCTCTTAGATCCACACACCTATGAGAGTGCTTACATGGCACTGCAGGGGAGGAAAAAAATCTCAGTGTAACCAGTCCATGGCCAATAGTGTTTTTATTCACTTTAAAATACTTCAATGTAAGGAAATAATACAGTAAACTTTAGGCATTATTATATTCCATTCTAAAATGCTTTTTAAAAGGGAACATTCTCAAGCAGAGCCAAAATAATGGGATCACACATAGGAAAGTAATTAAAATTCTTTAATATCATTTAATAGCCAGTCCATGTTTTAATCCCCCAGTTGCTCCCAAAAATATCTTTAACAGCTGCTTGTCCAAACCATAATCTATTCAAGGACCACCACTGGTGGCTATATCCCTTCAGCCTCAACGTGCTCAGGAGAATGGACAGCTTCTCCCATAGAATGTCGCACCTTCTGCATATGTCTTATTAGTCCTTTGGGAGGTCATTTAGCTAACTTCTTTGTCCCCATATTTCCTATAAACAGATACTAGATTTAAAGATTAGATTCCGGTTTAATAGTTTTTAGCAAGAGTACTTCAGAAGTGATGTTATGTGCTTCATATTGCATCTTAACAGGGGACACAAACCATCTTGTTGACTCCACAATAAATGAGGCTAAAACTCACTCCAGGATTAGAGAGATGCTGAACTGATCCTTAATGGTGAAGTTATGTTTACTCTGTGCCCTAATGCACCAACATACACGAAAAGCAGGCTACCTTCCACTGAGAGACTTTATACCGAGTCATAATACTTGAATCAACTATTTCATTAGGATTTGCAAAACTAACAATTTTCCAATTTTATTGACTGGCTGTGTTGCGAAAAGTGGAATTTAGAAGAGGTGCTGGGGTAGAGGGCAATTTATTTATCTTTCTGAAATGCACTCCAAATGGACAGACAGAAAGCCTATTAATTTTTGTATGAGCAATGTTTAAGAGGAGGAAGAGAAGGGGTGAAAGTAGAATGGGGAGAACAGGAAACCCACTAAATTTGACTGTCCACTCACTCCCCAATAATTTATATCTAGGGGAAAAGTCTCTTCATCACACAAGACAAGTGACTTCTGTTTCTCTTTTTCCTCCTCAGACACATTTTGCTGGGCAGCAGACTCAGTTTAAGATTCTCAGCTTATATCCAGGTCAGAAATACCTTGTCCAGGTTCGCTGCAAGCCAGACCACGGATTCTGGAGTGAGTGGAGCCCAGAGAGCTCCATGCAGATACCTAATGGTGAGTGTCTTGGTGACCTTTTATTCAGATTCTTAAACATTTTTTAAAAATAGAATGGATTTAGTAGATTTGTATGTAGTAACTACTAACAGAGAAACTATTTGGGATCTTAGCCAGAAAAAATAAGTGGTGGTGAATTTATCACTCTCCACCCAATACAAAGACATTTGGAAGGAGAGTGTTGCTCCGTGAGTCACGGCCAGTGAGGACCAGTTTTGAGGATAAGGCTTCAGACATGGGCTTGGCAAGTTCAGGGAGCTGGAATGTCAGTCATTCTGCTCTGCCCTTCTGCTTCATCCCTATTATTTAGTCAAGGTCATCATCTAGTACTCCCGGATTTGAAAGGTTGTATCCCATCTCAAAGGCATGAATGATTTTCAGTCTCTGGTTGTCAATTACATGTTGGTCTCTTAGTTAAGGCACAGTATATAAGCAGCACTCAATTCTAAGTGAAACATGGTGGCTTGTATTTCACAAAAAGATGATTCATCTTGTATTTCCAAAGTATAGCTTGTACAAAGTCTTTACCTTGTTTGGGCCTCCCAATCCTCTCAGGAATTCAGAGAAAATATAATTACCATTAGGAATTAAAAGTAAGGAAACAGAAGTTCAGTGAAGTTAGAGGTCTTGCCCAAAGCCACATGGCAAAGTCTTCTGACCCCTTGCCTGGCCAATGTGCAGGGCTTGCACTGGCTTAGCATACTGGAAAAAGCCCTGAGCTGCAGGCCATTAGGGTTCCACATGCATCTAGTCCAGCCCTGGCTAAGGGCTCATTTTCACAGCTCTCCCAGGGCTGCTTCCTTGCACCGAGCAGCTTCTTCTGCCAGGTTAGCTCCTACTCACCTCCCCCAGGATCTCTTAGATCCACACACCTATGAGAGTGCTTACATGGCACTGCAGGGGAGGAAAAAAATCTCAGTGTAACCAGTCCATGGCCAATAGTGTTTTTATTCACTTTAAAATACTTCAATGTAAGGAAATAATACAGTAAACTTTAGGCATTATTATATTCCATTCTAAAATGCTTTTTAAAAGGGAACATTCTCAAGCAGAGCCAAAATAATGGGATCACACATAGGAAAGTAATTAAAATTCTTTAATATCATTTAATAGCCAGTCCATGTTTTAATCCCCCAGTTGCTCCCAAAAATATCTTTAACAGCTGCTTGTCCAAACCATAATCTATTCAAGGACCACCACTGGTGGCTATATCCCTTCAGCCTCAACGTGCTCAGGAGAATGGACAGCTTCTCCCATAGAATGTCGCACCTTCTGCATATGTCTTATTAGTCCTTTGGGAGGTCATTTAGCTAACTTCTTTGTCCCCATATTTCCTATAAACAGATACTAGATTTAAAGATTAGATTCCGGTTTAATAGTTTTTAGCAAGAGTACTTCAGAAGTGATGTTATGTGCTTCATATTGCATCTTAACAGGGGACACAAACCATCTTGTTGACTCCACAATAAATGAGGCTAAAACTCACTCCGGGATTAGGGAGATGCTGAACTGATCCCTTAATGGTGAAGTTATGTTTACTCTGTGCCCTAATGCACCAACATACACGAATACCAGGCTACCTTCCACTGAGAGACTTTATACCGAGTCATAATACTTGAATCAACTATTTCATTAGGATTTGCAAAACTAACAATTTTCCAATTTTATTGACTGGCTGTGTTGCGAAAAGTGGAATTTAGAAGAGGTGCTGGGGTAGAGGGCAATTTATTTATCTTTCTGAAATGCACTCTAAATGGACAGACATAAAGCCTATTAATTTTTGTATGAGCAATGTTTAAGAGGAGGAAGAGAAGGGGTGAAAGTAGAATGGGGAGAACAGGAAACCCACTAAATTTGACTGTCCACTCACTCCCCAATAATTTATATCTAGGGGAAAAGTCTCTTCATCACACAAGACAAGTGACTTCTGTTTCTCTTTTTCCTCCTCAGACACATTTTGCTGGGCAGCAGACTCAGTTTAAGGTTCTCAGCTTATATCCAGGTCAGAAATACCTTGTCCAGGTTCGCTGCAAGCCAGACCACGGATTCTGGAGTGAGTGGAGCCCAGAGAGCTCCATGCAGATACCTAATGGTGAGTGTCTTGGTGACCTTTTATTCAGATTCTTAAACATTTTTTAAAAATAGAATGGATTTAGTAGATTTGTATGTAGTAACTACTAACAGAGAAACTATTTGGGATCTTAGCCAGAAAAAATAAGTGGTGGTGAATTTATCACTCTCCACCCAATACAAAGACATTTGGAAGGAGAGTGTTGCTCCGTGAGTCACGGCCAGTGAGGACCAGTTTTGAGGATAAGGCTTCAGACATGGGCTTGGCAAGTTCAGGGAGCTGGAATGTCAGTCATTCTGCTCTGCCCTTCTGCTTCATCCCTATTATTTAGTCAAGGTCATCATCTAGTACTCCCGGATTTGAAAGGTTGTATCCCATCTCAAAGGCATGAATGATTTTCAGTCTCTGGTTGTCAATTACATGTTGGTCTCTTAGTTAAGGCACAGTATATAAGCAGCACTCAATTCTAAGTGAAACATGGTGGCTTGTATTTCACAAAAAGATGATTCATCTTGTATTTCCAAAGTATAGCTTGTACAAAGTCTTTACCTTGTTTGGGCCTCCCAATCCTCTCAGGAATTCAGAGAAAATATAATTACCATTAGGAATTAAAAGTAAGGAAACAGAAGTTCAGTGAAGTTAGAGGTCTTGCCCAAAGCCACATGGCAAAGTCTTCTGACCCCTTGCCTGGCCAATGTGCAGGGCTTGCACTGGCTTAGCATACTGGAAAAAGCCCTGAGCTGCAGGCCATTAGGGTTCCACATGCATCTAGTCCAGCCCTGGCTCTTCCTAAATAAAAGCACAGGTCTAGAGGCAGAAGGCTTGGGCTCAAATCCCAGACTATAACTTTATGGTTATGTGCTCCTGGATAAATCTCACTTTGAGTCTCAGTTTCCTCATCTTTACATACAGTGTATGTAAAGAGCTTAACACCATTAATGGCTTTAGTAAGAATTTCATGAGTCTTAGCTTTTATTATTGTTATTATTGCAACTGACCACGTGGCCTTAGATTTCCTCTTTAAGGATCAAATAAAATAATGCGAAAAAGGATTTTGAAATTTGTAAATTAATGTAAAATATATGCAGCATATTAAAATTTAATGATATTGGAAAAAATCAAGCCCAGCATTGATGCTACTCTGGATTGCTGTTCAAATCAAAAGAGGTGTACGTAGTGGGGGGAATTCTTTTATTCAATAGTTTCACTCTTTAGTTTTGTTTGTTTATTTTTAATGATGCTACATATGACCAAAGTTTTCTGGCTGTTTGCTTTTCAGATTTCACCATGAAAGATACCATCGTGTGGATCTTTGTGGCTGTCCTTTCTGCTGTCATCTGTTTGATTATGGTCTGGGCAGTGACTTTGAAGGGCTATAGGTACTTCACTGTCTATCAACCCTCCTCTCAATCATGGTTATCAGTGATAATGGCAAAAATGACAATACAAAGATGATGGAAACCTACAGATAATTCAAACGCTTCATTTTAGCCATCAGCTGCTGTATATTCATTCATAAAAAACCTTTTATCAGTGCCAGCAAACACAGCAGAATACACTTATGCTGGTACTCTTTGCATCCAACTAAATTATGAAATAGTAAAAAATCTGGCAAGAACAACTGAAAAAAAGAAAACAAATAGTCCAAACAATCCACTAAGTTCAGAATCAACCTCCTCAACTAGTCAGAGCTCATTTTGATGGATGCCCCTCTAATTATTGTCTTCACCATGGAGCATTAGCTTCACGTAGCCCCAGGATACTGACTCCTGTCTATCATAGTCCACATAGGAGCTATTCGGCGATAATACTAATGTTTCAAAAATTACAAAGTGAAAAGATGATCATTTATCCTTTCTCACAAATTATTTTGTAGCATGGTGACCTGTATCCTTCCACCCGTTCCTGGGCCAAAGATAAAGGGATTTGATACCCATCTACTGGAGGTAAGTGCCAGAGGTGGACGTGTAATATGACTTGCTCTTTTGTAATAAGGGCCTTTACACATGCACATGTAATCCCCATCAGTTCAGCCTGGCCCGTGCATTCACCCTTGCCCAGCTGTCCCTTCTCTCTTATTTGTCTTTATGGAAAGATGGGTGGTGGGGCGTGAGTGTACTTACCATCACATACTAGAAGTCAGAGGGCAAGGAGAGAAAGGCAAGAAAATGTGAAAACATAGTAATACACATCAGATTTACCAAGTCTGTTCATAAGCACAGAGATAAACATTTTGTGCAAATAGATTTCACAATCTTTCAATTTAGAAAGAGGGTGAATATTTTAATTAATACAAATCAGGAGCCCACCACCACCTCTTCTGTGATACATTGGTAAAAGCTTCCACCTGACTATTCTTTACATAATTGAAATATTCTATTGCAATTGCTGCTCATTTTGAGCATTCTGGTTGAGACATGATCATTCTAATGGAGCTGATGTTTGCCAGGGCCCACTTAGGCTGATTCAAGAGGGAATTAATTTTAAGTGTTTTGAATGAAAAGAAGGGTTAGAATATTTTAAATTTCTCTCCAGGTTGAAACATATAATTTTAATTTGACCTTAATTTAAGTTTAACTTAATACCAATGTATATAAAAGCAGTGACCTGCACATTCTATCATTTGACCCAGCCACTGTGAGACCAACAGACAAGATTGTGAAAAGTGAGTCCCAGAGAATTTGGCTTAACCGCATTCACTTTGATTGCAAATATCAGAGTAGCGAGGAGAACCCCAGGACTTGGACTCCTGATCCAGTATTCCAACCCCACTGCCCAGTCTCTGGCACTGGCCGTTATGGAACCAACATGAACATCTCAACTAAGTAAATTAACTACTGTGTAGCTTGAAGCTTGACCTTGTAGCTACATAATGAAAAACAACTACTTTTTGTGTCAAAAAAAAATTTTTTTTCCTGTTCCTATCCACATTACCTTTAATCTTCCAAAGAACCCTCCCAGGTAGGTACTCTTATTCCCATTTTACAGATGGAGAAACTGAGGATCATAGAACAGCTTGTCCAAGGTTAATACCCTTTAGTAAGTGATAAAGTCAAGATTTAGACACCAGTACCTGATCTAAGTCAGAAGATCAGGAAGAAGAGTGGAAAATAAGGGAGGAGGTGGAAAGAAGAGAAGGAGGGAGAGGAATAGGAGCAGATGTAGGAAATGGGGATAGCGGGAAGAGAGGGAGAAAAGGGGGAGGAAACAGAGGAGAGGAGAGGAAGAAACAGGATAGCAGGAGAAACGAGGGGAAGGACAGGGAGTGGGAAGAGGAGGAGGTGTTCAGAGAACCAACTGGCCAGCAACCAGATGTCAGGGCCAGCGAGTCCTAAAGGGCCAAATGCATGCATGAGCACAGTGGTTCTAGGCATTTTAGAAACTTTTCTTATTGAATAGTTATATGTTTTTTATATATATATGCATATACTACTTGCCCAGTAAACTTATGATCATTATTGCTTAGAGAGAAACTGAGTTAAAATCATAAACTGACTTAAGAAAAAATATGAGACAATTAGTAGTCCAGGAGGTGATTAGAGGCCTGGTATGCAAACGTCTGACATTTGGGAAATCTGGCTAGGCCGTTACCACATCCCACCTACCCGTAGTCATGAACATAGGTGTGGCCATGATGCTACTTTGGGATGCTATGAAGCTAAGAGCCATCTCACCTTGTGTCTGTGTTTTAACAGAAGGGCAAGTCTGAAGAACTCCTGAATGCCCTGGGATGCCAAGACTTCCCTCCTCCCTCTGACTGTGAGGACCTGCTGGTGGAGTTTTTAGAAGTGGATGACAGTGAGGACCAGCAGCTGATGCCAGCCCAATCAAAAGAACACCACGGTCAAGGTATGAAGCCCGCACACCTGGATCCCGACAGTGATTCTGGCCGGGGCAGCTGCGACAGTCCTTCTCTTTTGTCCAAAAAGTGTGAGGAACCCCAGGCAAATCCCTGCACATTCCACACTCCTGAGGACGTTGAGAAGCCTCGGAATCCTGAACCCAATGTTACCCTCACCTGGGACCCCCAGAGCATAGGCTTGGAAGGCAACATTCCCTACTTCTGTGCTGATGGATCCAAATCTTCAACGTGGCCTTTACCGCAGCTCCCCAGCCAAAACAACCCCGGATCTTCGTACCACAACCTCGCTGATGTGTGCGAGCTGGCCACGGTCATGGCAGGGGCTTCAGCCACATTGTTGGACAAAACAGACAATCATGCTTTCAAATCCTTGGAAACCATTGAGACTGGAGGGGAAGGTAAGGCAGCTGAGCAGAGGGAGGGGGACCACTCCCATGCCTGGACTGGCCAAGACACAGCATGGCTGCTGCCCCAGGAAAAAACCACTTTTATCTCTGCTAAGCCCTTGGATTATGTGGAGATCCATAAGGTCAACAAAGATGGAGCACTGTCATTGCTCCCGAAACAGAAAGAGGACAGTGACGAGACGGAGAAGCCAGGTGCTCCTGAACCCAGTAAAGAGTATGCTAAGGTGTCCAAGGTGATAGAGGGCAGCATCCTGTTGTTAGTGCAGGATCCACAAGCTCGAAACCCGGCTTTGTTTGAAGAACCAGCCAAGGAGGCTCCACCATCCTGTCAACAGAGTCAGGCTGAAAAAGACCTGGCTTCCACCACATCAAGCAACTGCAGACTCCAGCTCGGCGGGTCGGATTACCTGGACCCCACATGCTTTATGCAGCCCTTTCAGTGATATCTTGGTTAATGGAATGACTGGTTATAATGTGACTTTTCTTCAGGTAACACTACAGAGTACAGGAAATACACTCCACTAGAGAATGCTTGTGAACATGGTTGGACTGACATGACTAAGTCTCACAGTCCACTCTTTTTCATGCTCCATTTTCAAACAGTTGCCTCTTTTTTCAACAGCTGATTCCAGAACAAATGGTTTTGTTTCCTAACTGTGATTTGTAGATTTACTTTTTGCTATTAGTTAGAAAATGATATGTTCAATGAAATAACAGCACCTTGCTTAGTATTCTTGAGGGACAATACCAACAGTACATCCTCTGGAAAAGTCTCTCATGGTTTGGTATGTCACAGAAGGAAATGAAATAATCAAAATTGTTTACCATAGGAAGATGAAAAATGCCATGAAAACCTTTGGAAAACCAGTTGCTTAACCTTTGCACTCCTCTTTCATGTTATTAGTATTAACCAAATACAACACATTTAAAGAATGCATTAGGACACCTGATAAATTGTTTACATCCATTCCTATTACCTTAGTGATACATTGCTGATATGCAAGGAAAGATGATGCCTCCATTTTTTCTTAAAACAGTTTAAATTTGTTAAGCACAGATTTTTTCCCTAAATTGTATTTTATTCTAAAGCCTCTGGAGAATATTGTGTTGGAAAGGGAAATTTTCTGATACAAGGCAAATAAGTTTCACCTAGTAAATCCTTCTAAAATATTTTCCTGCTTCATTTCAGCATGATAGATATTTATTATACACCCAGTCTTCTCTTAGTGAAAAAAACAAATCCCAAAAGACTAACTCTAATTTAAAAGATAATCACAGCAAAATGTTAATGAAAATACTGCCTTACTGTATATACAAATTCTACTTTAATATAAACCTATACATTTAATAATGTATTTTTGAAGACTATTTTTCTACCACTTAGGTAAAATAAAAGACTATTTTCTATCTTCCCAGTATAGCTGCCTGCATATTCAGTGGGTACAGTATTTTCTGCTATGAAGTTATAACTATTTAAGTACACAGTTGTATGAGCAGTCCCTGTTCACAGAGTCAAATGCCCAACTGACACCCGCCGAGGGATACCAAGTGGATGACAATGTTCAATTTCCAACATAGTGTTAAGTGTACTATATTCCAGTACAGTTCATTTGATTCTTTTGATCTCCAGGGTACTTTAAATGACAATCACCAACCTAGAGTTTCAGAACTCTCCACAGACTAGAAATGACCTCTGGGGCTTCTGCTCTTCTCTAGGTAAATATTCATAAACTACCATGAGACAGGAGAATGGCAACATCTAACATACTTTTTAGAGAGAGGGTTTTTGTTTTGTTTTGTTTTCCTGAGCAATCTTGGGCACCAAATAAATTTTAAGCAAAGCCAGGAGTTAGCATCTCTCTGGAGTACATCCATTTGCAAAATCTTGGCAGAAGCAGAGACACCACTCACGTCAGAAGTATCCAAATAAAAGTTCTAAGAAACCAGACATCTGTGGAGTGGTGGGAACAGCTACAAAGGCAAGGGTATGGCAGTAAGAATCTTCCAAGTCAGTTCCAAGGGCACGTTCCCCGAGAGCGGCCAAGAGCCTGGATCTCCATTTTAGAGAGTACCCATGGCTTATGGAGCTGCTGCCCTCTGCTTTTCATTTCATCTTCAGGTCCATTCTCTGTGCCTACTCACTAGCTGGGTGTACTCCACTCCACTCAAGCCCATGCTGATAGGAACTGGACTCGGAGGTAGCCTGATATTTGAAAGTAAACACATTGCTAGGGCTCCCAGAAGTAGTAGATCTGAGGCTCTGTTCTTCCAAAATATAAGCAACATCTTAAGAGAGAGGGGAATACTTAGGAACATTGTCCGAGTTCATGCAATCCCCTAGATCCTTGCTATTCAAAGTATTGTCTGAGGAACAGCTTCATCAGCATCAGCTGGGCACTGCTTGGAAATGCAGGATATAGGTCCCCCTTCCCCAGGCTTACAGAATCAGAATTTGCATTTTACTAAGATCCCCAGATGATTCATGTGCAGAGTGAAGTTTGAGAAGCACTGCCCTAGACGGCCACAACAGAAGGTTATATTGGAAACAGTCCTGTCTAAGAAAGTGTGGGTTAAGTTTGTTTGATTCTCACTGAACTACACTGTATGAAAAGAGAAAGAATCGTTTCTTAAAACTTTACTCATGGTTTAAGATTCAAATAATGGTAGAGAAATACCTGCAGAAGTACACACAACTTCCAAGAGGGCCAGGGAATATATTCCTGAGAGGCACTGAACAAAAGACTCAGACTTTCAAAGCCAATGCAGTCTAAACCTTTCCCCAAATAGTCCGTTTTCCCCCAAGATGTATATCAATCACTCCGGTAGTGTGAAAATTCAGAAATGATCTTTTTGACACATGATTTGGTATATATGAAAAGAAACGTTATGGCTAAGACTCTACTTGAACTAAATCCCTAAAAGAACACCAAGGAGTCAGTTACTACATAAAGCCAAGACTATAATTCTATGGTTGATTAGCACTACTTATTTGAATTAAATTTTCTTTTTCTTTATCATGGTCTAGCATATCTCTATCCAGGAGATAGCTAGTCAAATGGAAGGGTACAGAGTGGGGGTCAAGAGACCCAGGTTCTAGTCCTAGCTTCATTGTCTTAGCTCAGTTCCTTTCTCTGGGCCTCAGTTTCTTCTGAAGGAAATGTCAGGTCAAATAATCTCCAATGGCCTTTTAAACTCCAACTCCATCAGTCCATGAGTCCTGAATATTTTCCAGCAAAGATGATTAACCAAAGCTTTGTGTCTTAATCGAGCTAATAAACAATTGGCCTTCCCCACAGAAATGCAAGATTCATGGTTTAAGATTCAAATAATGGTAGAGAAATACTCTTCAGTGACATGCTCATTTCACTTTTAAGTCATCAGTTCCAGTTGGCCTTAACAGAATGCACATGCATTTCATAAATTATATAGGTACAGAATCACAGTCTAAGATTATGTACAAGTACATGTATAGAAAGAAGAGGCATGAGACTTTAAAAAAAGACATTGAATGAGGCTCTAATTTTTCAAAAAATGGTCTTTCACTGAATCAAGCCATGTTTTATTCCTTGCTGAGCCCAGCAGCCCCAGATCTCTTTTCTTATATCTGGCTACCAATTCTGTTTTGTTTTGTCTTGTTTTGTTTTGTTTTTTCTCTTTCATAGATTATGAACCACCATTACACAGTTAATTTAAAGAGTCTTATGCTCCAAAACATAAAACATCATAACTTTATAAAACACACCTAAATATTCGACTTATGAAGCACATTGAAAAGGAATAACCAATGATTGATTTGTGAATGCTTATGACCCAAAGTGCAAAAAGTTCTCTGATCAGTTTTAACAAATGGATATAAGACATGTCAATACAGCACAAGTATTACCAGCCATGTCATTGGCATTTCACAGACTTTCGTTCTCCCAAGTGCCTAAGATTAATCCCAGTAAGCAATTACATATTAAAAACTTGCTTTCACTGGTTTGGTCCAAAGTGAGTCAGCCCTTGATACCTGTACAAGATCAAGGAGTTTGACTCCTTGTCCTCTTGTGACCCAACCAAATCAGAGACTCCTATGAGTCAAGGAGCGACCAACAGGCACCTAAGTGCCAGAATGCAGCAGGGCTGTGGAGGAAATCTGGCTCTTTCTCGAAGCTGCTCTCAGCTGCGCATCAGAAAGATTTGCAGAAAGACTTGGCCCTGCCTTTAGTAACTTCCCTATCTCTTTAGAGTACACAAGAAACAGATTTATACACATTTTACAAAGTGCCTCTCTTTATTTTTTTTTTTAATTCTTTTTGCAAGAAAAGAAATTTAGAAACTAAATTTCACTTTTGTTATGTAAATGAAAGAAGCCAGAAAGGGAATGACAAAATGGTCTAAGGTCCAATGAGCAACTGTTCGGTGGATTTTTTAATTCATTGTTTAACTGAATTACCATAGAGCAGATGCAAATGGAATAATTTGTCTAATAAGAAATTGACTCCGGCTAGGATTTTGGGATAAACCTTCCACCCCAAGATTCAAGATTCTCAATTTAAAAACATACTGATGCACTTTTGAATTGCTTTGAATTGCACGCCTGGAAGTGAAAAAGGCAATGGGTGCACAATGGAACCTCACACACAAACACAGAAAAATGTGAATGACTCTGGACTACTACCCATTGGTGAAAGCCTCATGTACGCTTCATTGAACAAATTTCTTTTTCTGCCTTTTCAGTTCAAGCACAGTAGTGTCATTGCTAGGCTAGTAGGCTGAGCCCTCAATTTCCAGGTGTAGGTCACATTGCAGCAACTAAACAGATTGTATGGCCTAATGTAAGTCCCTTTAGCCACCGTTTTCCTCACCTGTTAAGTGGGTTGGCCTTTTCCTCACCTGTTAAATGGGTTGGCCTGAAATGTTTCTGAGACTCCTTCCAGCTCTAACCGTCTTTGATTCTTGTGAGCTAAGATCCAGGGTGCCAGGTCAAAGATCCAGGTGCAGTGTGGGAAATATTGCTGACTCCACGCACCCTTAACCTAAACCATTGACCAGTGCGGCTGTAACAGTGCTTACGAGAAAACCAGAGATACATTCCTACAAATCAGATTAATTTGATTTACTATCCTTGCTTCTCCTCTTCTTAGCTGTGTAGGCTTTTTATTCTCTCACTCCAGGGTCTATATTTTTCATAAGAGTTAATTATGTGCAGTAGACCACAATATCTGCAAGAAACTAAATTATTCATAAGCAATGACTTTGGCCCTGCAAAGGACTGAGTCAAACTTTAAATTAGCCACACAGATGTCAAGGCCCATGTTGAGGGTCACAAGTTACCTCATTTAGGGATTCGCATGCTTAGAGATTCTAAATTCATCAATTATGTAAGTAATTCAAAGGCCATTCATAAATTCAAGCTACATTGATGACTCAGCCTAGGTCTTTCACAGAAACTTAAAAATAAAAAATAATTGTTTGAGAGTTTAGGATATAACCAGAAGTTCTATTTATATTATGGCCTGGGCTTATTCCCTGATTAGCAGGTATATGACCTGCAAATCAAATAGGCTTTCTCTCCCTAGACTTGGCTTCTCAGGAAGGTGATTTTGGTCTGAGACCATCATGGTATCTATTTCAGTGAAAGGAAAATGGTAGAGAAAACAGGATGTTTCCAGAGGTTTGGGAATATCAGGATTCCACAAAATGCTGAGATTAGCCGACTAAACCCCAATTTTAATGAACATAGTGAATCTATAATCTATTCAGTGTCCTAGTTTATGGCTAAGAGATGTACAAAACTCACAATACCATATACCCACCACTATTTTGTCCACATCGATTCCTTTTATTTATGCTCTGATTTCAAATCAGGAAGCAATGAGACATGTATAGAATAACACACCTTGTTGATGTGGTTGTCAATGAATAGTGAGACTGTTAGACAATCTTATTGTATTAATTAACTTTTTACTAGCTGCATATTCAAGAGAAAAATAATTAACTCTAAAAGCTTTGGCCACTGACATAAACTTTAATAGTTATGGTCAAATAATGCTTCATCTGGATAAGCTTCAAAATACAGTCTGAATTTTTCCATGCAAATTTCACAAATCCTGGGGGGGCGGGGGGAATGTGTTAGCTTATCTGAACTTGAAAATCTATATGGCAAAGATCCCTCTGACAAAATAATTTGTTTTATAAAATTCCTGATAAAATTATTTTGAATTTCTAAAAGTAACTGCCTCCCCTTCTTGTCCTAATGCCCTTTCTTCAAAGCTGCTTATTGTTCAGAAATGAAAGGTCTCAGGTCTCACGCTTTGGCTATCTTTCAGTGGCATATCAGGTGTGCTTGTCATGTGACACTCCTGACTTTAAAATAACTGTTATGTTATTTTATATTGTATTGCTTTATGTGGTTCAAAAGCTGTACGACACACTGAAATATATAATCCTCATGTTGTGAAACTCATCATGTAATACAAATGAAAATAATTATTTAATGACTTACAATCTATCCATATGTATTTCAATACGATTGTTGTCTATGTCTGTTAAACAAAGCTGAAAAGCTCTGTGATGGTAGATTTCCGTCGAAATAGTGAATGTACTATTTTATTTTGTAATCTTTGCCTAGAAGCTGTATAATATGCCATTCCCCAGCTGATCTGGGGTATTAGGTGTTTAAAGTATAATCCAACAACTGTTAAAAAGTCAACCTCTCAGCTTTGCTTTCTGTGACATCGTATTAGGTGCATCCTGAGGCCTGCTTTTGTGCTCGGTCATTCATTTAAACAATGTAAGGGTCTCATGCAGAAACCAAAGCAATCTTAGACCCAGCCTGTTGGTGGTCTCTGTCTTCTGCAAAGCCATATCCAAGTGAAGACTATGTAATAGCAAAACGTTCCATATTTTTTTCCACAGCTACCACTACCTCTGCTTTTCATCTTTCCCTAGAAAATGCCAAGCAAAATTCTTCAACATTAAGGGAGAAGTTAGAAGTGATTGTTTCAGTAAGTTACTGCTTCTGTTTGTTGTTTTTACATGAGAATGCACCTTCTAATTCACCACTTGGTATGTTTATGCTAGGCTTTTTCAATAACTATTTGTACATTTTATAAAACTGGCTGACAAGTAAGGGCCAGAAAGAATACATAGTAAGTTACCAGATGAAAAAAAGAAAACCACAGAGTGCAGAGTTTTTTCTTAACTGTAAATCACCTCTTGGTGGCTACCTAAAGCCATGATAATGATAGTCCTCAAGTGTGGTTTCCTGAACACCCCCAAAAATAAATCTTTTCCTTATTTGATTTTGGCCATGCAATATAATATGGTATTGGAAAAGTCAGCCATAGGTCAGAAATAATCTTGCTTCACTTTTTAAAACTTCTTTCTACGTATACTTATTATAATGCCTATATTTTTTCCTTTTTTTTTTTTTAGCTGCAATGAGTTATGGAAGATTGTAGTCATCTGATTTATCTTGCATTTTTAATTCTTTAACTCTCATTATTACACATTGTGCTTTCTGTTTTCTATGGATTTATTCATTTGTCTCCTTCCATTTTGAGGGAACAACATGGACAGTTAAATCCTTATCACCAGTATGGGAAATTATGCTGACTGCTATTATAACATCTTCATTTTTACTGCACACCAAGAACAATGCTTGCCAAACAAAAATCTTAAACATCCCAGTGTAATATGATCATTATATTTCTATTCATGTTATTGAAAATACCCAGCTCAGTGCCTGGCTCAATAAATGTTTATTTCCCTTGCTTACCCTTCCTCTATTTTTTTTTTGACATGCAAATGAGTAGAATAACGTGTGTGTCTGAAGAAATGTTCTTGAAGAATTTTTGGTGCTAAAGAATCCATAATCTGGAAATTGTTTATATAAGTTGGCCCAAAGCAATTTTCCTCCTTCTTTACCCTTCCACATCATTGCAAACTATAATTTTTTCCCTCCTTTACCCGATCCCTTTCACATGAGAAGCTGCTAAAAATAAAGTGAGATGGAACCAGGACCTTGGGGATCAAATCAGAGAAGCTCATTCACATATTGGAAAATAAAGGAAAAACCAAACCATTTTTAGAACATGACCTTCTTTTGGATGGTATGATTCATCCATAATACTAACAATATCTTTTCTGACAAAATCCATACTAAGTGTAAAATGAAAACTTTTTTACTTTTAATGGATCTAGATCTAAAAAATCTTCACCTACAGTTGTATTATAGGATTATGAAATGGTGTGACAGATTGCTTAACAAATACTTCTCTGCCTCCTAATTCTCTAATGCCATGCCTTAGAGGGGCAATGAGAAATGTCATCTGTGACATTTAAAGCTCCAAATCTTAGCTTCCCCTAAGAAACACTGACTCTCCCATACTTATATTGGTGCCATCTGCCTTTAATTCTTGGGCACACTTTGACTTTTAAGCTACAAAATTTGGAGTGTCATTCACCAGACACAGCATTCATATTATTAATGATGAGCAGGAGAAGTAATATGTAGCTTCTTTTCCAAAATGATTACATGTGCTTCCCTGAAGAAACAGGAAGTATATATTGCCATATCTTGTCAGAATCTAATCAGAAACCTTAATGCCACCAGACTTACTAACAACTTACTAACCAAGTTTTGTACATTCTGAATCTTCCCCTATTTTTTAGGGACTGGGAGATACAGCTTCAGTTTAGTAGAAACCCTGAAATCTTGGGAATGGGTTAGGGTAGACTGGGAAGGAGTATAGGAAATAGGATCACCGAAAAGACCCCAAAAGGGATTTTAGAGCCAGGGAAGAAGATTTCTGCGGGATTTACCTCTGCAAACCCCTCCAATCCATACAGGTGAGACCAATCCCATTCTGGATAATACAAAATGTATTCTACTTTGGAGTCTTGACATCTAAATTGAAATTCTTTTCTCTACAGTCTTTTCTACCTACTCCACACCTCAACTCCTGCTGCCTATTCAAGTGATAAGCAATTTCCTTTATTATAATCAGGTTCACATTAAAACTTACACTGACAAATGGGCTTGAAGCACAGATATTTTTATGAATGTGATAAAACACATTTTTTAAGAAAAGGCTAGAGGATGTCAGTCAAATAAAACACCACATGGACATCAGTTGGCAAATGCTGGTACAAGAAAAGGGAGCTCAGGAATGTTTTATTACTGCATTTAGAAGTGTGTTTAAAAGAATTTGTATATGTCACAGGTATATTTTTAAGGTGATGAACATTTGTGTCATAAACTATTAAAAACTACAAGATGAGCTTAAATGACATCCGCTAGTAGCTTGACTTTCCATGATCAATACTGATATTGTTACTGAGCTGTGTTAACTTCATAATGTACTTTTCAGTCCTTTTCCAGAGCACCTGCTTTTGCAATGCTTAGTTTAAATTGAACCAATAAATTATTTCCTTAGGTGTGGTGTTTGAAGGGTCTTTTTATATACAGATATGAAACATGTATTTTGTGAAAAATGTACCTTTGAGAAGTTTAGTTTTTTCTTTGCCTCAACAAACTTTACTAGGACATTTTTTAAAGAAGGGGAAAAAATGTCATTCTGAGCCTCTCCAGAATTAAAATACCACAGACACAAAAATAAAATATTTGTCTTAGATCATCATCGAAGGCATTTTTTTTCCAGGCACAGATTTCGGGGCTCATCTTTCAATACCTTCTCTAATTTTATTTTCCTACTAAATGGAAACCAAAACTGACATCATCTTGCTTCCAACCCAGCTAAATTCTACATCTCTTTCCAACCCAGCTAAATTCTACACCTCTTTCCACTGTCCTCATGTTCCCCTAGTCTTTATCCATTTCCCAGGCCTGAGCCTTAAAAATACAAACATACTTGGAAGCACCCAGAAATTCCTTGGGCCTTCTGGGAACAACCAAGAACAATCAAGGGAAATTTCTAAATCTGATATACAATCAATTTTCCCAAATGAAGCTTAAGCCACAAATCTGAGTGCTAAAAATTTGATTTTCCTATCTAGAATTATCCTGTCTTTACTTACAACTCCAACTGTGATTTAATCTTCCAGTTAGGATCTTTTATTTATTGCATAAAATATTTCATACACATTTCAAAATTACAGAAGATGATATAACAAAGACCAATTTACCACCAGCCAAATTTCACAAATATTAACATCTTACCATATCTATTCCATGCTGTTTTTTTAAATAAATGAAACATCACAGATGTAGTAATTTACATCCCTCAATAACCAAATTCTCCATCTCCCTGTCCAGTGGTAACCATAGTCCTGCAGTTGTTATATATCTTTCCTAGCCATTTAAAAAATGTATGTATCCATAAACAATATATATAATTATTCTGGGTGTTTATGAATTGTACATAGATAACAGCATATGACATTATGCACTGTAATTTTTTTTCATTCAGCATTGGATTTTTGAGATTCAAATAGCTCCAATTTATTGGCTTTATCTGCTGTATGCGGTTGCATACATATATACAATTTATGTTAATCCCTGTATTAACCAACTTTCCATTTCCACCATTATAAATGGCTGTGCAATGAACATTTTATGCAAGCCTCGTTTTTTAAGTATTTGCAAGACTTTCTCTAGGATACACATCTAAAGATGGACTTGTTGGGTAGTATGGAACACATATCTTAACATTACCTCAATATTGATGAACTTTTTCCAAAGCAGTTGTACCAATGTACACCCCAATCAGCAGTGTAGGAGTTTCCATTCCCTCTTTAATCTTGATGAATCTTAATGAATTTTACTTGCTTATGATGCATTTTATATACTTTGCTGCATTCAATTTGCTCAAAGTTTATTTAAGATTTTTGCACTTATGAGATTCATCTCTTTTGCTGCTTGAGACATAATTTTCTGAACTGATTTATAAGTTAAAACCTTCTTCTAGAATTACAGAAATTCCTCTTTCTCTTATAAGTCTATTGATTTTTTGCTTTGTATATTTTGGGGCTATACTATTAGGTGTATATAAATTTAAATACTCAATCTTCCTAATAAATTACCTCTTTGTTGTTAAATATGATCCCTTTTATCCTTAATGATTCTCTTTGTCTTAAAAATTCTTTTTCAATTTTTCTGATACTAATGCTGCTACAGTAACTTTCTTTCTAGTGGTAATTATTTGGTGAATCTCTTTATTCCACTACTTTCAGTTGTTCTATGTTACTATCTTTTAAGAGTGTCTCAGAAACAGTAGAAAGCTAAATTCTATTTCCTCATCCTATTTGAGATTTTTTTCCTTTATGTGGTAAATCAGTTCCCTTTTTTCCCTTCTGAAGTGCCCTTCCTTCATTTTTCTTTTGTGATTGAATCTATTTACAATTTAAATCAGCCAGTCTTGTAATAATCATTATAGGAACAGGATATAATTAAAGGTCATAATCAGATTATTTGCCATATCTGAGGGCCTAAATTTAAGGGTATCTCTTCTCCCACACAGGAACAACCCCGGTCACAGTGAGCCAAATTCTAATGAACCTCATCCTGCTGTGATTGGAAGGAACTGTGGTTTGGCTGTGAAGTTGAAGGGAGTGAACAACTGGAGAAGTCCAACTGCTAAGGGGCTTCTGCACAAAAATATCTGTGCCATGCTCTACCAAAAAGAGATGAATGTGGATGTTCAAAACCCTCCTTTTAAACGCAAATCTTCCTCAGTTATCTGGTAGTCATTGACCATATCCATTATTAAACAACGCTTGATATATCTGAGCCACATCTCTAATATAGTTATTTCCTTCTAACATACCTGCCATCTCTCCACCTCTGTCTGAGCACCCTGAACATGCTCTTTCCTAATCCATCCACTGTGAAATGGAATACCTATAATATGAGGTTTCATTTCAGATGTTCTCTGAAATCCTTTCAAACATTTCCCTTTCCTTCAACTCCATGACTCCTAAATGAGTTAAGAAAAGGAAATTTTCACTTTTGAAAGGCTGTTATTTATCCTCAGTAACTCTTATGGACCCTGCTCTGTTACTGGCAGAAGGACTCGGGTCAAAAAGCAAAGTTCATTCAGGGGTTACCTGATCAATTATTAGTGAACCTGTGTGCAAAAAACTCCCCTGTAATTATTAACATGACAACAGAATTTTCATGTTTCCTCCTTTGCCAATTACCTTTTCCAAGGAGAAATTTCAATGTTTCCCTACCTGATGAAATATATTCTGTACCTTCAAAGTAAGTTACTATCTGGGAGATAGATGACCTCTCCAGACTTATGTCTTGTCATGTAAATTGGGATAGTTCCTCTTTTTCCCTGGTCTTATGTAAAATGGAGAAAATTATACCTGATCTAATTTCATAAGAAGGAAAAAAAAGCATAGCAGATGACTCTTAAAGTCCTTTATAACCAAGAGTCAGAGTCTTTTTAATAGTAATTTTACCTGTGAACTTATGGTAAGATCTTGGATTGTTGTTTCAAGTGACTCCTAGACTGAGGATAAAGATCTGGACGGAATCTAAGCTTCCTCCTCATCCCAGTTTTCAGATTCAGTGGATATAATTGTAATTCTGAACAGGTCAAAAGACCCAACATCTTAGAAAACAATTCTGTGCAATGTTAAGTGAATTGTAAATTGATGCCACCTTACTGGAGTGCATTCTAAACATACATACATTTTGATCTAGAAATCCCTCTTCAAGTATTGATCCAGAGAAAAATATATTTAGTCCAGCGCACAAAATTCTATGTCCTAAAATGCTGGAGAATATATAGCTATCCATTAAGAGGGACTTAACAAATAAAATATATGGAGACTTCTAGTTTCAGCTCCAACATAGCTTGGAAGTTGTCACTTCCATCCTTTCAAAGAGAACCTGGACAAACGAAAAATCTGAAACTGAAAAACTGAAAATGACTTTTCTTGAACACATCAGAGAAGTGAGGTTGCAGAGTGAACTATCACTTTGAAATCTAGAGCAAAGCCTAAAAGTCACAGCTAAGACCTTCTTAATCTGGAGCAGAAGTCACCAGAGTCATAGCTGGTAGAATACTTACAAAGTAATTTTGAGAAATTGCTAGAGTCTGAGTATGACTGACATGAGAATGAGAAACTCCCTGGTTGCCAGAATCTTAGAAGGACCCCAAACTTTTATAGGCCTTACCTAAGGAACACCACCAGCCTGTCATGGCAAAGTTGCCCTCATTGTTCCGGCTGGGGAAGGAGAAGAGTAACTACTGTGAAATATGGTTAAGAGACTTCACCTGGACAAAGATCTGTTCTCCAGGGGAGATGAGTTGTCCACAGTCCTCTTTCAGCAGGTGAAGAGCATTTCTCCCATTCCACCTTCCTCTATGCTTCCTACTCTACCTAAGGGGTGGGGCTAAAGAACATAGTCAAAAAGGGTAAGGACTTCAATGAAATAGATTGGGAAAACTGAAGCCAGGAAAGGGAGTCAAAGGCAGAATTTTTTTTTTAATTTATACTACTGGAGATTCACTTGTGAAGGGCACGTCCAGAGACACAGGCCCACTGAAAGGCTGAGATCTAATCATAAGTCTTTGGGGCTGCAATATAATAACAGTAATTTACATCTGAAACACCTGCCAGACCCTGACTCTGTTTAAGGAGAGGTTCTTAGGGAAGCCCTCAGATACCAGGGAATACAAAACAAGGATACTAGTGGAAATTGAACCCTCTGACACCTACAGCTACAGCAAACATTAAACACATCCCAACTCCTAACTGGATTAACATAAAACCTCACTTTAAAGGCTTATTTACCTCAGATCCCATTGTCCAATGCATCATGTCCTGTTTTTATCAAATAGTTGCAAGTGATGTTAAAGTGAAAGAAGAAAAATACAGTCTGAAGCAACAAAGCATCAGAACCAGATTCAGTTATAACCTAAACATTGGAATTATCACACAATTTAATATAACTATGATTAATATGTCAAGGGTTCTAATGGAATATAGGTAGATATTATGTAATACCAAATGGGTAATGGAAGCAGAGAGATAGAAGCTCTAAGAATCAGAAGAATTCTAGAAATCAAAAGACTATAACAGAAATTGAAGAATGTCTTTGTGTTGGACTCATCAGTCGACTGGACCAGCTGAGGAAAGAATCAGTGAGCTTGAAGATAGGGAGTAAAAACTCCTTAGCTTAAAAGCAATGGGAAAAAGTGGGAGCAAATAACAGAAGCTCCAAGAACTGTGGAATAATTTCAAAAGCTGTAATACATTTGACTGAAATACCAGGAGAAGAAAGGACAGAAAGAAATATTAAATTAATAACAGCCAAGAATTTTCCAAAATGAAATAAAATATATCAAGGAAGATTATGAAAGAATTAAGAATGATGACTCAGACCTATGTATTTTTTGCATGAAAAGCTGTATTACTGACTATAAGCAGATTATAAAACTGCATGTATATATAAACTGGTATACACCATGTAAAAAAGATTTCTGAAAGAATCTTTCCTAATATATAATGGTGAGGTTTGCTGTGATTTTTCACTTTCTTCCTCATGCTTTCCTAGGCTTGAGTTTGTTTCCACAAAAAAAAAGTTTAAAAAGCATATACTGTACTATGGTGATCAGAATAAATGTCCTCCTTTTGAATAAAGAAGATACAGTTTCTCAGTTGGATGTTATTCAGAATGCACTGCTTGGCTTCCCAACCCTAGGCAGCCCTAATGAAGGGGGCCTTCACCACACCAATCTTTAAACTTATAGCCCAAAAAGATTTCCACTCAAAGGAGTTTGCAGTCTGTAGTATTCACAAAATAAAAATTCATCACAGCCCAGTGGAGTTGAAGAACTTATGCCAGATCTCAGGAACTCAACATTTTCTCACCTCAGTCCAGCACATGACTGGGCACCCCAGGGACACAGGTCTCACTGACACGGGTCACTCACATAGCAGTTGACCAGCCCAGTCACATAAACACTCACACAATACAGCCTCCCAGCAGAATGAACTGGAAGCTGGGAGCCCATGCAAAAGGGACAAATTTAAAATACTTTCTGTGCTTACCAGCTGCCCTTACCTCTTCTGGGCACTTGGGGAAAAATGTTGTTTTCCAGACTTGGTGGAGGTTGTGACCAAGACAATCATCCCCCCTGCAGGGTGATACAAGATGTCCACCTTGTATGGTGTTCATCCACCCCCACCCCTATTGGAGGAGGTCACCAAGAGGACCTGACCACAGGTTGACCCTCAAGCTGGACCCAGGAAATCGGAGGCTCTTCACCCCCTCCTCTGTCCTTGGAATGTACACACTGCCCACCATTGCCACAGTGGGAGCTACTTCAAGGGCATAGCCTTGAGACAGTAGGTGTTGTTGAGACCATCGGGATGGTGGACATAACTGAACCCAGTTACGGCCTCTATACAAACATTAAAGATTCTGGTGGGTGGGAGCAGAGGTCTACTTGTCTTATGGCCACCCAAGACAAGCCTCATAAGTAAGTTCTGCTGCTCATTAAACCTGCCACCTACCATCTGGAGTGGTCTGCCTCATTCTTTGGTCTCTCCCTGCTCTCCAGGTCCAGGGGCCAGTTTGTGTACCGACACCCCAATACCCTGGTTCCAGCTGCCTTTGTCACCGTCCCCAGTGGGGCACTGCCATGCAGAGGCACAGTGATTGCCACCCTGCAGCCACCAGAAATCTGGAGATATACACACAGCAACCTGGATGGATCTTAAAAACATGGCTCTGAGTGAAAACAGGAAGGTCACATATTTACATACATTAATAATGCACTCACTCCAAATAATACACATTTTACAAGAATGCATACCAACAAAAAGATATGTATTAAATACATATAATAGTTGCCTACGGAGACTAGGAGTGGAGAAGGCAGGAGTAACTAAAGGAAATTTAAGAAATTAAAATATAAGAATAAAGCACCCTGACTTCTCTGCTCTCAACTTCTTGCTCTATTCGCACACCTAAAGGGATGCACGGTTGTCCAGAGTTTTCCCCAGCTAGTGGGTGCCCCTTCCCCATAAGCCCTCCTCCTCTTCCTCTAAGACCCCCAACACCAATTTCTTTCCCCAGTCACTTCATGCACATCCTCTTTCTCTCCCTCTTCTTCTCACACCCCTCTGGTTTCTCAGCCTCTGACCCCTTCAGCCACACCTGGGCCCATTCCCCCTCCGATAGAGACACTCGTGCTGATGCCACACAAAACTAGCAAAACTAGTCCCAAAGACCTTTGTGTTGCCTACCTGCCTTCTGTCTCCCTTCTCTCTCCCTCCCCCCACCCATTGCCTCTTCCCCAGCCCTGTTCTCCTTCACTCCCCTTAAGGCCCTATCCTGGCCCTGAAAGCTCTGGGGCTTCTCCAATCGGAGGCAGCAACCCTCCAAGTTTCCCCTCTGGAGCTCCGCCCCACCCAGTCTAATCTCAAAGTCCGCCCAGTGGCTGAGCAGTGGGAGGCCCTCCTCTGACTGCCTCCACAGGGCTTTGCTTCCCAGCTGGGAGAGATGATTCTAGTCTGCAGACGTTTGCCAAGGGCTTTGAGCCTGGACACCTCCTCTTCTGGGATCCCCAAGATGTGCCCTTCCCTGAACCGTGAGTGGAAACCAGGGGCATGTGGGTCAGCAGAGGGTCAGCCAGAGGGGAAGGGCTGAGCTCTGGAGCTTCTGGAAGATTAGACCTGGATGAGCTCTTAGAGACAGGTCATCTAACCCAGCAGTCATGACTTTGTCAAATCCAGTGTCCCTTTTCATGTCCAATATTTTACAGTGCCCTCTTTTGCTCTGAAATGAAATTCATGGATTAGAAAACTGACTGTGGGGGATTTCCCTAATTACAACCTCCCTAGTGCAAACACCTGTCTGCATACTTATATTCCATAGTGAGACCCTGTGCCTCATAGGCCTCAATCAGGAAGAGGAATCCCTTTTCCACTCCCCACAATTTAAAAATAAAAATGTGATATCTTAGCTATAATATAAACAGATATAAAAGGATGGCAATTCAAAATAAAGGTTTAACTATCATGTTAGGTGCTGAAGGATGACTATAAGCCACAAAGCATTCTCACAAACTCCCACCATGTCCCCAGGAGGAGGTACCATCCCCTCACTTACCAACAAGGAAGCAGAGACTCTGAGAAGTACAGTCATGTACACAAAGTCACCCAAGAAACCAGGACTAGACTCTGAGTCCAGTTCTCCTCCTCAGACTCTCTTCTCTCTCCAGCAGGAACAGAAAATGCGAGGAGACCCGAGGGAGCATCCATCAGTAGCTTCATGGGCCATAGCCTATGGGCTTGTGATTTTCACGTGTATCTTGTTTCACTATATTGCCCCACTCCCTCACCAATTCCCCTAATGCCAACTCCTGTCTGCACATTTTTATGCCTTAGAAGTCCCAATCAAGTAGGGGAAAGCCTTTTCCGTTCCCCACTATGATCATTTTATTGCTATGTTCTCCTCATCTCTCCCTTTTCTTTATTCTTTCTTCCTCTCCTATCTGCTTTTTATCCTCCTGCCCCAACAATTGCAATTCTTTGAAACTTAATACATGTGTGGTGCTTTAAATGATTATTCCCTTTCATCTTCAACCAAATATTTTAGTGAGTACTATTAACCGATTTCTCAGATAAGGAGACAGAAGAATAATGAATGAATCATTAAGAAATGTGGTCAAAAGCAGAAACATCAAACGACAACCTGGGATTCAAAGCCAGGTCTGCCTGACTCCAAATTCAGAGTGATTCTACCAGAAGTGGTTCCCCAGAGAGACTGAGACAAGTTCCACTGTAACCTCCTGCAGAGCTCTTTATATAATGACTTAGTCAATAATAGCTTATTGCCTACAGGTGTGCAAGCATTGGCCTAACAGTAGGCCAATTACATCATTAAGTAGTTTAGGGTCAGGTGAAGATCTTGGCCATAGGCACTTCCACTTTCCCCACACTCCACCCCTCCAGAATTCTCGGCTCACAACCTACATACCATCAGTCTTCTGCAATGATCCTTGTTCAAGAAAGCTAGAGCATTGTAACAACAAAGCTTACAATAATAATGGTTATTCTCGAGTCCAAGGGGATTGATTGCCACCAAGTGGTCATCCCAGCTGTATTCAAACCAGCCCCAGCTCGTGATTTGCACTTTCCACAAGAAGCCAGTAGCAGTCCTGATAAAGAGCTCCATGCACACCCAGCAAGTTGCAGTTATTGCTAGGGTGTGCCTGATCCACAGAGACGTTAGAGGAGATTAACAACATGCAACAAAAGTTGACATAACCATTGGGCCACATCAGAGGCAGGCTTTCCTTCTAAAGTACTTGGGCCATTTCACCTGCTTCATCCTTTCCTGGGGATGACAGCAGCAAATGGCCTGTCACATGATCACATGATATACTATAACTGTTTTGGTCTGACCACAGGCCCATAAATCTTGCCACGATTCTTGCTTCCAAAGGGTCATGACCAACCAACCAGTTGGTGTGGCACTATGTCAGCAGCCACAGAGTCAGTTCTCAATAAATAGCCCAACTGTCAGTGCAGAAAACTATAGGGGAAGACTCCTGGCTAATCATAAGTCATGCTGCCCACAACTCTACCCATTGGCTGCTCTTCCCCTCCCCATCCTCCATCTTATTGTCTCAGTCTTGGATGGAAAGCTACTGCCCTCCATTACAGGGGCTGCCCATGGCTGGAACCATCTGTATACTGTGCATCTTCGGGTAGAGGGGCTCTTTTCTCCCAATAAAGACTCTCTGCTACTAATGACTCTGAAGCAAATTCTTCCTGCCTTGCACTGGTATATGTCACTGACCCCAGTAAGCACTGGGGCTGGTAGAGAGAGTGCTACACTGCTCTGAATACACACCCCACGTGGCCAGTGCAGGCATCTATGTCACACCACTCCACAGCTTTTGGGTCTAGACTCGTACCCAACCCATGATGGGATAGATGGTTCTAACCTGCATCAGGGCCGTTCCAGTAATGGGCTCTGTAGCCAGCAGCATGGTACACAGCAGCCAATTGTTTCTCTATTAAGGTTTACCATACCTCTGCTCCTTTCCAGAGTTGTAACCAAAGTCCAATAGGTTGGAAAGTTCATTTAAGCCACTGCCAGAGACCCCAGCTATAAACATCTTTGGTCACACGAACATCTAGCTCATAGGCCCTTGATGGGTCTATCACACTCAAGGCCTTCACAGCCTTGACTGCCCATTTTGCAGTGGTAAAAGCAGATGCACATGTCTCATCCCAGTCCCACTTGAAGCCTTTCGTACCAAACAGTATAAGGGCTTCAGAATTTGTGCCAAGTGTGGGATGAACACTTTCTAGTAGCCTAAAAGACCCCAAAACTCCAGCAACAATGCCACAGTTACAGGGATAGGGAAGACCTGGACTTTATCTGTGACTGTCTCTGGGATAACTTTAATCTTACCTGACCAGATGACCCCCAAGAATTTGACTGACAAACCAGGTCCCTGAACCTCGGTGCTGTTCATAGCCCATCCTTTCTCCTTTAGATATTGCAGCAGTCTAGGTGCTGCACCTTCTAGATCTGTAAGAGAATCAGAGGTGAGCATGATATCATGAATCAATACAATGATTCAGTCACACCATTGGTTTCTCCCATGCTGCCAAGTCCAGGGCTATGAGTCCATAAAGGATGGAGGGACTGTGGAGGCATCCCTGTGGAAGTACAGTGAAAGTCCATTGCCATCTTTACTATGTGAAGGCAAACTTTCCCATCTTTCCTGTTCTCCGTCAATAGAAAAGAAGGCATTAGCAAGATCCACAACATAATGATATATGTTCCTAGTTCATGACTGAGGGTAACCATCAGGTCTGCAATAGAGGGGGTGGCACCATGCAGAGAGGGTATGACTTTATTCAATTCTCTGTAATCCACTGTCATATACCAGGAGCCATCTGGCTTTTTTACCAACCATACCGAAGAATTGAAAGAACTATGGGTGGGCTTTATAATACCTACCTTCTCCAATTCCTAGAGGTTTTCTCCAATTTCTTTATGCCCTTCAGGTAATTTGTATTGTTTGGTATTAGTCACCCACTGAGGCACAGGCAAAGCTATCAGTGGGTGCTTAGCATGTCCCCTCAGGACTGCCTTTGCCACATGTATTCTCAGTCTGAACTCACCTGTAGTGGTCTGTGACCATAGGCCTTGCAGGATATCTATACCCAAAATATATTTGGGGATGGGAGAGGTATACACAGTATACTCTTTTGTGGTTAGATAGGTTTGGGGCTTGTTTCACTCTGATAGCCTTATACCCATTTCCATTTATAATAGTGGAGGTTCCAGAAAGCTGCTCAAAGTTGTCATGAATCAGTGAACATGCAGCTCCTGTGTCTACCAGAGCCAGTACACATTGTATGTTCATTGGGGACCAGTTAATTGATACTTCAACATATGGCCTCCAGTACCCCCTGGTCCCTCAAGGTGGATACCTTGACCCTCCCCTCAGTCAAATCATATCCCCCAGTCATCTTCCTGTGCAGGGTCAGGCAAAGTCAGCTTACTCTCCAGCAGGAAGTCTTACAAACACACACCAGAGTTGTGGCTCTGTCTCCAGCCTCTGCTTCTTGGTCCTCAGTGGCCAGAACTGCTGCTCTGGTTTCACTTTTTGCCACAGCTCCAGTAAGATTCTATTTGACTTTCCATTCAATTTCTCTCTGTCTGCTCCTGTCCCTATTAAATCAAATCACATTTGGGTCATCGTAACCTTAATGGGGCCCTTTAAATTCTGCCTCTGAGTAGCAGACCATATTTCCTTACGTGATCTCATCATTTCAGCCTCTCCCAAGTCTGCCACCACATGGGTAACCTCACTTATGGGCTGCCCTAAGTGAGGGGCAAGTATGGCCACTAGGGGCCCAAAGAGGAACATGGGAGCCATTTAAAGCACCACATTTCTCATTCCCCCAGTAAAAGGCTCCTCACCTGGGCCATAATTCTCTGGACTGTAAACAGCATTTTTCATGCCTAACTCCCATAACCCCTGTTGGAGCTAAGCATACATCTGCCATCTAGTGGGGGAGGATGGTAAATCACCCTGATTGGGCCATACAGTGTTAAATGCAGCTATAAACCAATTGAGAAGGGAGTGATTTTCTAGGGTCTGATGTGTGTGTGTATTGTAATCTCTGCCTCAAGGCAGGATGAACTGTCAGGGGAGCTAGCTTTCCCATCTCTGATCCTGACAGAATAATTCTATCCCCCACTATATCCCAAAGACACAGGAGCCAAGCTGGTATCAACTCCACGGGCTTTTGCCAAAACTGAAAACCCAAATCTACCAGCTCAGCGTCAGTTTAGGGGCAAAGTATAGAGTGCTCTATGACCTGGGAAAGGGACTGAACCTCTTCCAAGTGAACCCACAGTTGCTGCATCTTTATTTTCTCATCTACAGCTGGGCAGGCTTTCAATAGAGGAGGGGTTGGTGCCTCTGGCATCACTCATTTGTCCTCCCACAGCTCCTCCATTTCAAGAGCTGACAGCACCTTTCTTGCCACCTCCCAAGTCTCCCCCAGTGCCTCCTCTGCAGCACCTTAAGCTTTCCTACAGTGCTTCACAGCAGTGCCAGCTCAGTCTTCAACAGCTTCCCTACCTTCACCTCAATACATCACAGCTGGCATTCTCATGCTGCTGCTTCATGTACTTCTTGCAGGAGTACATCCTTCTGCTTCATGGCCTTTGCCTCTTCTGCAGTGCCTTGCAGTGCCACTCTCCTTCTGCAAAGAATCTTTTACTTCCTCCACAACACCACGCAGCTCACATTCTCATGCTGTCTCCTCTCCTATCAACATCATTTCATTCTTCAACAAATCCACAGCACTTCACAGCTCACAATCTCATGCTTCTATTTCTCATGTCTCTCACAGGAGCACATCCTTCTCTTCTGTAGACTTTTTAATACTGTGAGAAACAGCCAATCCATGGTTTTCACTGCTTTGCAGGCTTCTGATTCTCAAAGGACCTCCTTATTATGCCAAGTGCCACCTCTACTGCCTCAGGTGTCACTTTCACTGCCCCCAAGTCCTGCGGAGGGCCCCAGTCCTCTAGCGGGCAAGCCACCCCAGACCACATGCCCACTGGGGGACATTCAAATGTCTCCCTGTCTATTGGGGCAGCACACTGAAGCACCCATCCCGTGAGGGCAGCCTGTTCCACTCTTTGGTTTACAGTGAATCCTGCCAGCTATGCCAATTGTCTTGCCTGAGTGTTTAAGCCCTGCACAAGTTCACTATGGATTTGGTGACAGCGAGAAATGACAACAGAATATTCTTGGGGTAAAAGGGTTTATATCTGGCTTTATTCTCATGGCAGTAGGTCAAGGACTAGAATCACATATGCATCTAGCAGTCTGCAGGTCCATAATCCATCTTCATCTCTGCCTCTACCCAGAGCACTGGGCAGATCACTTTATATAGTGATTCAGTCAATAATAGCTCATTGCCACAGGTGTGAAAGCAGTAGCCTAGCAGTAGGCCAATTACATCTTCAAGTGATTTAGGGTCAGGTGAGGTTCCTGGCCATAGGAACTTCCATTTTTCCTACACTAGCCCTCAACCCTATGGGGGTTTAATCTATCCCCACCTCAGCTCTAAAGTGAATAAAATCTTCCTTTCCTGAATCACTGACTAGCCTAAGTATCAAAAGAAACCAAAGTGACAAGTCAATTTTAAGCTACATAATATGCCAGGCAGAACTGAATCACTTTAATGTTCTACTGACTATTTCCATTGTGCATTTTCAAATATTTTATAACTGTTTTTATTTGAAAGAATAAGGAAGTTCTCAATAAATACCTTTCTGTGTTGAAAGTTGGTTGTGGGTGTTAGAAAAATATTTTCCATTACAAAGAGAATTCCCCCTAGAATTTTCAAATGCCCACAAAAATTGATTTCTCTCACCTTGCCAAACATATTTTCATTTTTTGATACTATGATTTTTTGGGGAAAAGAAAGCCAAGTTCAGGTGACCTCTCTGCTGTAGAACTCTGTGGGAATTAAGCACCTGGCAAGTTAAACCCAGTTCCCCACTTGGCACTTAATATACGAGAGTAGTGTTTTCTCCAAATTGAATTAGACCTTAAATGACTTGAGTTGTCCAGGTGAATTGAAGTGGAAATTCAATTCAACTTGAGTTGTCCAGGTTAATTGGATGAAAATCCCTTTGGGTTTACCATCAGGCTTTAAAAGGCAATATCGGACCAGTTAAAATGATAACAAAGAAACCAAAAAAAAAATAAGTAAAAACACCTTTACAGAAATAGACCTGGGATTTGGTCTTATTAACCCACTTCAGTCTGTCTTCACACATACAAACACACATACATACACACAGTCCCTATGCATTCACATGAAAACAGGTCTGTGTGAACATGTATATACACCATTTCCAGGGGCCCAAGAGAAGCTTTATTAATCCTTAACTTTATGTTGTCCTCAAAACATAGGCTATTTTGAATAAGAATGCAGGCAATTATCTAGATATTTGAATTTTAATTTTTTTCTAGCAAGCTAAAAAAACCAAAGAATTTTTGTTTCTTTTTGTCTATTAATTTTTACTATTACTATTATTTTCAAGTTTGGGTTGTTTGGTGAGACAGGAAGTATGAAAGACAATAGATTTTTGAGATGTTATCTAGACTTATTTTGTTTATTGACTAATTCTTTCTCCTACTTGTCTTCCTTCCATTCTCCCTTTGGGCAGGCTTTTATGTATTTCATTTGAAGCCTTCATTCCACCATCATATTCCTGTCAGTTTGGTGAATGAATGAATGGATGTATAAACCTGCCTTGGCTGTTTGAAATTCAGACTTTTTTTTATCATATCTTTCTTTCCAACTCTCTAGCCTACTTTCGTAATTCCTATAACCTTGGAGTTGAGAGCTCACAGCCTTCTCAATGGGCAACTCCAATTTTACAGGTAGGAAAATGAAACTAAAGGGTGAAAAGAATTTGAGTTCTTAGAAGCACTCAAAATTTTTATTCCATCTCTGAACAGTACTAATGTAGAGCGACACAATGAAAAACTTCAAAAGGTGAAATTCTTAGAAAAATTAAGCTATCCTTTTTTTATCATTTCTATGCACAGATACCCAAAAGCCACTTGCATTTAAAGTTAAGAGCAAATTAATGACATCAGTGATTATTTAGAGCTTTTAGAAAAGTGAATGAGATCTCTTTGAAAGAAAAAATACTCAGAGCTGTTACTTTCTAGCCTCATTTAAAAACATAGTTGTTCATTATGTTTCTCAGGACTGTGACTTCTTAGCCACACAAGACACCAACATTTCATCCATGGATTCAACCTTCATGCTGAATGAGAGACATCATTTCCAAAGCTCTCTCTACCTGTTATGTTATCTTGATACTGACCTTGAATCTCCAAAATTAGCAGCATTCTTCTCCAAGAGTATTTATAAAGTCTCTAGACATCTCTTCCAGCTCTGATAGCCTTTGATTCCATTATTTCATCCCATTGTATAGACAGGTCAAACTCTGTGTTGGAAAGGGAAGGATGAAGGTGGTCAATGAAATGAGCAAAAGAGTAGTAGGCTGGGAGTCAGGCATGTGGAATTTCATACCTTTTCTGCAGTTAACTCACTTGGTGGCCTTAAACAAATTAATGTACCACTATAGACAGGTTTCCTCCTCTATAAAATGAGTACTTTGACAAACAAAAAAGTATAAGGTCCCTTCTAGCCCAAATATTTAATGATTCCTCTGGCTCAGCTTATCTTTACTTTGGCATGGTCTTATGCTGTCATGGTATTTGTGTTGTGTTTTGGTGAAGGTTTTGTCTTCCAGATCTATTTGCTTGTATTTGTTAACATAGTTCATTGCCTAGCACCTATGTCTCCTCATTCCCTACAAAAATAGTCAGCCACCATTCCCTGTGTATAAACAATCCGGAACCAGAAATTGGGGTAAGCACTGAGATTCAGGCACTAGGCAGCTCAAAGTTTAGAAAGCACCTCTATTAACAGAGGCAGTATATCCGAGCCACACACCTCACTGGCCAGGGTTTGGTCAATCAATATTCCCCACTAGATTCAAGAAGAACTCTCTTCTTTCCTCCAGAAAACTCATATTGAGATAACTCCACTTTTAAGTCCCAATGAAAGGCTGATTTAGATGATGTTTTTAAACTAAGAAATAAAATTGCCTAAGGACCTTGATTCAGATAACTATAGGTGATTTTTACCAAACAGGCCTGTGTGATGTTTAGGTGAGGACCATAACTCACTCCACTTTTAATAGGTGCTTGGTGGACATCTGTAACCAAGCTCAGTCTTCATACAAAGCCCAGAATGCCTCCATGTGACTTCACACCTGAACGATACCAGGTAAGAGTCAGAATTTTAGGAAAACCCAACAGAAAGGGCTAACTTACTACCTTTCTCCAGAAGGACCCACAAATGGCCCTGTCTGCCGCTGAGCCATCCCATCCCCAGATATTCCAGTATTTAAGTCATTGTGAGTATCTGAACCTTCTTTCTCCATTCAATTCTGTATGAATGGTGTACGTATATGTGAGAGACAGACAGATGCTGAGACAGAGTGACACTGAGAGCACAAGAAAGAGACAATCCATGACACTATATGTTTCTCTGGGATATAGATATAATACACCCAAAAGCATACATCACAAATGTATGCATTTTTTAAAATGTTCCAGTTTTGACTTCTCATATAGGCATGATCTGACCTCCCTGAGTCCTCCACCAAAAATTATAAAGTTATCATTTTGCTCTCAGGCTAATTCTCTCTCTCTCCATCTCTGTCTGCCTCTTTCCCCCCAAACTGTTTCTTCTACATAGTACTCATAGTTAGAAATTGTATAATCAATGGTCAGGAGGGATCTACAAGGAAATGTTTTAGGAGAGAGGTCTGATGATTAAAGACATGGACACCACCAGCACTTCACATTGTTTTTTGATTCCCAAAATAAGAAAAAAATGACTTAGTTACTTTTGACATTTACTTCCAAGGTCTTTTTTTTATTTTTTCACAGCCAAAAGTAATTCAAAGTCAAGGCTTTCCATTGAAAGGTAGAAAATTTCAGCTCCCTTCATGTTTGATCTAGAAAAGAATCAGAGGGCCACATTAATAGTTTCCCCTACATGAAAGGAGGAGCCTTGGGGTCCTGCCTGGGAGACACTGAGCAAATCCACCCACTGTAGAGGTGAGGTGCTGCTACTCTAGGGGGTGACCTGCTATTGATCTTGTAAGAAACATGGGGATAAGAAAAAGGAAGATCTTAAATACTTACATCTTGCCTGTCAACAGTCCCTTGCCTATAACCGTGTCCTGGAGATCCACAAGCAACATCTGTCCCCTAAGCTGGAGGCGTATTTTCCGAAGCCTTTGTTGCTCCACCAGGGTCACATGCAGTGGCTATTTGATTACGAGGGAAACAGATACCTGGATTTCTTTTCTGGAATTGTCACTGTCAGTGTTGGTCACTGCCACCCGTGAGTATCCTTAAAACGCTGGGGTGTTCACTCCAGAGGAATATATGGAAATCAGGTTAGTGATTCAAAACCGTAGTTGGTTAATAACTCTCCGCCCTCAGACATATCCCAGTTTATGGCTCCCATGCTCCCGGCTGCTTCCTGGGTGACACTGAATCTTACCCCTGCACTTTTTATTTTCCTGACAATGCATGGTTTAGTGGTCATCGCGCGTGCTGTGCAGCGTGGCCACGTGGTCGGAGTGCTGCTGTGTGGGGCTTTCTCCTCACTAGTAACAGCTTTCCGAAGAGAGGAAGCCACTGAGGAAAGGCAGAAGGAAGGGAGAGGCAGTTCTCCAAGGACATGGGGTCTGGTGGGGGGGGGGGTTGATGAGGGGAGGTCACTTCTCACCTACAGACCTTCATCAACTCCAACCAATGGATGAGTAAAGAAAGGATAAGAGAAAGATGTACTCCTCACAGGAAACTTACATTAGAAATGTACAGATCCCTGAATCTTGAGATTCTCTGCTCCTTTGACTCCCCTACCCAAGCCAAATGCCCTCAGTAGTTCCTCTGTGGTCTTCTAGGCTTTAGTGCAGTCATTTCATTCTAATGTCTGTTCTCTCTTGCCTTTAATAATCTGGCTAATAAAACTCACATTAAGTGGGACCAAAATAAAGGAAGTCTAAATAAACCAAATAGGTTGGGCCGTTTGGTCCACGTAGGGGCAAATGGTCTTCACAAGCAACTGTCAGGTGGTAAAGAGTGAGTTTTACTCCAGGGTCTAGTCCACATTGTTCCTCCCATAGCCACCTCCTTGCCATTTCTTTCTTCAGTAGATGCTAGTCCCAGGTGAGGTCCCAAGGAGCATGCAAAATAAATTGCGGATGGAAATTTAACACAGGATAAACACATGTGAAAGAAGTAAAGAAAACTGAAGTAGAGAAAAAAATTGAACATTCCCACTGAATCTTCCCAGTCATGTTGGACATTGTACCTGTTAATTGGCCACTCTCACTGACTTTCATGGCCTGTGTGCTTCCCCTGACTGCCTTCTGACCCTGCAGCTTGCCCTCTGACCCCCTAACTCTGGGGGTCCAGGACTCTTTCCTTCACTGCCTGCTCTTCTCTCTACGCTCCCTTCATGGGAGTACCGTCTCCCCCATAAAATTGGTCCCACCTCCCTCCCCACTCCTGGTCATTGAATCACTAAATTTTCAGCAGCCTTATCCAACTCCATTTCTTCAGCCTTGGCCCCTCATCAAGCTAAGATACTAACTATAATAAACCCAGAGTGGGCATCAAGATGCTGTGAATAAACTGAAGGTTCCTGTGTTCAGAATTTTCACCTGGCCCCCGTCGGCTAGCTCACTACACATGTGTGGGCAATGCATTGTTATTGACTATATATAAAGAGCCCTGCCCAGTGCTCTGGGTGACAGAGTGGCATGGCTACAAGGCTGCAGGAGAGTAGAGTAGAGGGTGGAGTGGTGGCAGCACCAAGGACAGAGACTGGGACGGCTGTGCGGGCTGAGAGGCCCAGAGGCAGGGACCTGCTTGCTGCACGCAGACTCGCTCTGAGTGGACAGGATTCTAGTGACTGACCTGCTACTGTGGAAATAAAGTTGGGTATAACCCTTTCGCCCCAAGAATGTTCTACTGTCATTTCTTTAGTCACACTGAATCCATCATGAACTTGCCCGGGGCTGAAACCCATTGGCAATGTAGATGCCCACAGCCTCCAGGAAGGTGCCTTCACATACCCCCCAAAAGTCAATTTCAGCTGATTTTCCACCATCAGCTGAAATTCAACATTACCAAAACCAAATCCATCATGCCCTCACAATACTGTTTTTATTCACACATTCGTTTACTCAAGGAACACATGTGATCCACCTGCTCTGCTGAACTCCTCCGCTAGAACCTGGGAGGCTAGACACCTGGCTGAATTCCTCTACTAATTCTGTGGTTTCTCCAATGTTACAGGCAAGAATGTTGAAGTCATCTCTGACTCTCCACTACCACCCTCCACTGAAATCTCTCTCCTCCTAGCCTGTCTCAGTGATTCCCACTGACACCAATGTCTGGGGAACTCTTGTCCTCCCACACCTGGAAGGGCCCCGTGCCCCCCTCACTGGCCTCACTTACCAGTCTTCCCCCATCAATCCTACCCTCTCAGATTTATGTTGCTGAACAATGCTTCTGTCAAGTGTCTCTTCTGTCTAAAAGTTTGATACTGCACAATTTTCTGAAGTAAGTTCCATGGAACACTGATCACAGGAGAGGTACATTGGTAAAGGGTCCTGTGAGAAAATAAGTTTGGGAAACACTTCAAACTATTTCTTCTTCCTAGGGAGAAACAGTGCAGATTAGATTATCCTACAGCAAAGTCCTACAGCAAAGAAATATGTTTGATCTGGTATTTCTCAAAATTGCTTAAGCACTGAATTGATTTCTTAGGTGTGACAGTTACTAATAACAAAGAGAAATGGTGTGTAACAAACTTTAGCCATTGCTGTCTTTTAGATCAAGTTCAAAACACCTTGGCCTGTCCAGGTGTTCCTAGTCAGGTCCCACATACCTATCTACCCTTAGTTCCTACTATCCCTCAACATGAACATTCTGATCGTCCATAAAATGTGATTTCATGTTTGCAAAATGTTCATCGACACTGAGCATTACTAAGGCCCAGATGCTGGAATCTCTTTTGAAGGAAAAAGTGTTAATCCTGTATACATGTGCTTGATGGATCTATAATTTTTTAGAAGAATAAAATGTGAGGACACCCAACCTTAGATTTAGTCATCTCTAGTTTCCAAACTATTTGAAAAGTTGTTAATAAGAAAATCTAGTGAGAAGAAATCCCTCCTAAACTAGGAATGTCTTTTCTAAAATCCCTAAGAAATAATCATTTAGTCTCCTTCTGAAACTTCTCTTGATGAGGAACTCATCATCCTTTGAGGCAACGCATCCCATTGCTGGAGACCCCTGGTGGGTAGAAAAGTTCTTTCTGTGGTACAGATGAAGTCAGCCTCTTGAGCTCCTTGAGAAATAGCTGTATGTTTGGGTTCAGCAGCTGGTGTGTGTTAGGAGGAACATATCAGCGGGCAGTGTGGGTAACTCTGCTTCTCTGTTCAACCAGGAAGGTTAACGCAGCTGCACAAAAGCAGCTTGGCCGCCTGTGGCACACAAGTACCTTCTTCTTCCACCCTCCAATCCATGAGTATGTAGAGAAGCTTGCAGTGCTTCTCCCTGAACCTCTAAAGGTATGATGCTCCCAGCTCAAAGGGTCAGGGGTTCATGATCCCAGAGGAGCTGTCTTAGGAAACAGGGATATGGGCTGGAAATTTGGTCTGTGCATTGAACATCTGCAATGGTGAGTTAATAGCCTTATCAGAAAGCAGTGAAGGAGAAGAAAGGAATTAATGAATTGCCCATGTTCACTTCCTCACCTCCAAGGCTTTGCCTCTCCTTGGTGGTTCTTCTCCCCGCCATCTCTCTGCAGAAATCACATAGCAGGAGTCCCCGCCCTCTCACACTCTCTGTGTTCCTCAAGAGGTCTTCATCTCTTTGCTCCATAGCTCCTCTGCAAAGTCCTTTGCATTTCTTCTTTTACAAAGAGTGGAGCCACTCTTTAATAAAATTAGCATATCATTCAGTTCATTTGGTCTAAGATGCACCTAAATATTTTTGCTAAATGAGATGTGACTGAAATGACTGAATTTTTTAACTGAATTGAGATGTTAACATGTTGGCTGAGATTTGTATTTGGGACCCAATAACTTAATAAATATGTAGGACCTAGAATAGTGCCTAGTACCCAATGTTAGCTATTATTATTAGCTTACAATATTATTTACATGCTTTATTTACTACATATATTATCTGGAAGAGATGAAGGAAGGTGAAATAGCTGCAACCTAAGTTCAGCACAGGCATGTTCATGCAAAAGCAGAAGCCAGGATGTCAACAAAGGCCCAGGCTCATGCCTCCCAGTCCACAAGCCTGGAGGACCCAGAGCCCTTTGGCTCTCTTTCTTTTAGCCAGAATGAGCTGCAGTTTATGTTTGCTTGTTTTCTCAACATTAACACACACTGAAGAGACAAGCTGGGATATCCTCCGGGGCTGCAGGATCAGGGAGCCTGCCCTGTCCCAGGCCTTCAGAATCAGTTGGAATGGTTTAAGTTCAGTGGTCAAAAGACCTCAGATCCACTTGGCCACAGTCACTAGGTACCCTTTAACAAGACTACCCATCTTAGCATTTTGCAGAGCATCAAATAAAGCCAATGCAACTCTGAAATGTTCTTGGGATAATTCTTAGCCATTCTTCATATTTCTAGCACTGAGTTGCTACCCAAAGAAAAACTGTAGGATTAAAATAGTAATTAAATAATGGGACCTCTGTCTGAAAGGAAATCTTCTTGAAAATCAGAGTCTAGCACACAGTCTTTAGTAATTTTGAATTAATTGAGTAATAAGGAAATAAATTAAAATATGAGATCACACATCTTCCTTTCCCTCTAGGTCATTTTCTTGGTGAACAGTGGCTCGGAAGCCAATGACCTAGCCATGACAATGGCCAGAGCACATTCAAATAACACAGATATCATTTCTTTCAGGTAATCACACCTTGGAATATTCAACTTTAATAGCATTGACTTACCCCAATTCTAAATGTGTGTCTTTAAAATATAGCATGGAAGGGGGGAGGGGCTTTCCCAGAGGTATTTTTCTAATTTAGATTTTAGGGCAGGATCAGTCAAATGAATTTATGACTGGATGAACCCATCCAAATTGGCCTGATCTGCGGTAGGGGTCCCTGACTGGGGAGACAAAGAGCTTGGAGTCCCAGTTACAGATCCTCCCGTAAAATTAAAGAGATAGTTACATGACAGTTCCTTAACTTTGCAGGTGTGGTATTGACCACGATATATGCCAAGTGGTCAATGACTGGTCTACACCCATAGAAGCTCATGGCTCTACTATAAGACACTGGGCCCATTTTAGTCTGTGTTTATAATAAAGAGCCATACACTTATTTCATAGTGCCAGCTGCCCCGTTTTTCTCCTTTTACTCTCTTTAAGTTCAGAAGGTACATATTTTTTGCTCCTTCAGGTGACTTTTGAAAATTAATGATTGAATAGGTTAAGTAAAACACCAATCACCATTCTGTATTGCCATATTTCTTTGATAGCAAGTGTTTCCTCATGCTTGTAGCACTGCATGTGCATTTTATATGAAACGTGCAGTATTGGATGTGCTGTGGCATTCAAATCTTGGTGGCTATGTGAATATTAAAAATAATAGAAAACTAAGCATTTTGCTTACAATTGCCTCCCTTGGGTAACTTTATATAGCACATTTAAACAGACTCCTATAATATGGTTTATGTAAAAGACAGGAGTGATTTATAGTAAATTTTACAGAATGAAGAAATAGTTCCATTCGTTCACCTGTCTGGCCTTAATTTCTGTCTAAATTCAAAAGAAGATTTGATTACCACAGCACATCCAATACTACACATTCCATATAAAATGCACATGCAGTGCTAGAAGCATGAGAAAACACTTGCTGTCAAAGAAATATGGCAGTACAGAATAGTGATTGGTGTTCTACCTAAATAAACTGCCCAGGATTGTATGTACAGACAATATTGATCTGTTCAAAGGAGTCATGGTGCTACTAGGGTTCACCACATTATTGTGTCTCCTCTTTCAAGACAGACAACCAGCCTTTTGAGTAGTCTTAATAGTCCTAACTTCTCTTCTAAGGGTGATTTTGATTGGGGAAGTTGTCAAAACTCATCTGAAGCCAAGACTGGTGATTAGGGTGACTTACACTAAACATGACTGTTTCTGGTTCAAAAGAAACAAAACCTGTGTTAGTTATATGCCAGATAAAGTGGTTTATAGGCACTTAAAGAGACATCCCCAAAGATGTTGAGCAACAGCTGCCACCCAGGAACAAACACCTGGCTTCTCAAGGTTACCGCTTTGAACACCAACACTCATTGAGTGGACGCTTTTTGGCTCATTGCTAAAAGACCAGTCTCACTATCTTAGGGCAGGTGCTAAGGTCAGAGTCCTTGGCCAGATGGTTGCCAAAACTCCTTTTGCAATTTCAAATCTATGACACTGGTAGAAAAGATAAATAGATAAATTCACCAAACATGGACTTAGAAGATGTCTTAGAAATCATTGGAGGTGCATGTTAATGGAGTTCTATTTCATCGCCCGAGCCTTCATGGACGTTCACTTTTGTCCTACACAGGATTCCACAGGCCAGCAATCAAAGGAAATGAACTCAGCCCCATCTTCTCCCTGTTTTTCCTCTGCAGAGGAGCTTACCACGGATGCAGTCCATACACACTTGGCCTGACAAACATAGGGCACTTGAAGATGGAGCTTGCCAGTGGGATTGGCTGCCAATCAGTGAGTTTTGATATTTTTGTCTTGTTTCTCTACAGGCTGCTGGGTATGTGAATAATTGATCAGATTTTCCAAGTATTTGGATTAGAAACTAATATAAGCCTGTCATTAATCAGGGGCTTAATTTGCCTTAGTTGAATCAGAGACCATTTGAGGAAATGTTTCATAGACCTTCAGAATCTGAGCAATAATTTTTGAAAGGGACTTTTAAAATGTATTTTGCTTTTACATAAAATCAAATAAGCCATAAATAAATGCATTGAATTAGTTCTCAGAGCCTTGAATGCATAAGATCTCTATGGAGTTATCCTGGTACCCACCTTCTGTTCTCACTTGCTATACCACCTTTTCAGCATTAGAATCAGGTACCTTAATATTTATCAGGTACCATAATTATTCATATAGTTTCAGGTGCCCTTACCCATAAACTCTTGAGCAAGTTGTTTCCAGGCTAACACTGAAATCAGTTTCCTTTGTGGAGTGCCCACATAATGATTTCTAAAAAGAAAATTACCATAACTACACATTCCATATAAAATGCACATGCAGTGCTAGAAGCATGAGAAAACACTTGCTGTCAAAGAAATATGGCAGTACAGAATAGTGATTGGTGTTCTACCTAAATAAACTGCCCAGGATTGTATGTACAGACAATATTGATCTGTTCAAAGGAGTCATGGTGCTACTAGGGTTCACCACATTATTGTGTCTCCTCTTTCAAGACAGACAACCAGCCTTTTGAGTAGTCTTAATAGTCCTAACTTCTCTTCTAAGGGTGATTTTGATTGGGGAAGTTGTCAAAACTCATCTGAAGCCAAGACTGGTGATTAGGGTGACTTACACTAAACATGACTGTTTCTGGTTCAAAAGAAACAAAACCTGTGTTAGTTATATGCCAGATAAAGTGGTTTATAGGCACTTAAAGAGACATCCCCAAAGATGTTGAGCAACAGCTGCCACCCAGGAACAAACACCTGGCTTCTCAAGGTTACCGCTTTGAACACCAACACTCATTGAGTGGACGCTTTTTGGCTCATTGCTAAAAGACCAGTCTCACTATCTTAGGGCAGGTGCTAAGGTCAGAGTCCTTGGCCAGATGGTTGCCAAAACTCCTTTTGCAATTTCAAATCTATGACACTGGTAGAAAAGATAAATAGATAAATTCACCAAACATGGACTTAGAAGATGTCTTAGAAATCATTGGAGGTGCATGTTAATGGAGTTCTATTTCATCGCCCGAGCCTTCATGGACGTTCACTTTTGTCCTACACAGGATTCCACAGGCCAGCAATCAAAGGAAATGAACTCAGCCCCATCTTCTCCCTGTTTTTCCTCTGCAGAGGAGCTTACCACGGATGCAGTCCATACACACTTGGCCTGACAAACATAGGGCACTTGAAGATGGAGCTTGCCAGTGGGATTGGCTGCCAATCAGTGAGTTTTGATATTTTTGTCTTGTTTCTCTACAGGCTGCTGGGTATGTGAATAATTGATCAGATTTTCCAAGTATTTGGATTAGAAACTAATATAAGCCTGTCATTAATCAGGGGCTTAATTTGCCTTAGTTGAATCAGAGACCATTTGAGGAAATGTTTCATAGACCTTCAGAATCTGAGCAATAATTTTTGAAAGGGACTTTTAAAATGTATTTTGCTTTTACATAAAATCAAATAAGCCATAAATAAATGCATTGAATTAGTTCTCAGAGCCTTGAATGCATAAGATCTCTATGGAGTTATCCTGGTACCCACCTTCTGTTCTCACTTGCTATACCACCTTTTCAGCATTAGAATCAGGTACCTTAATATTTATCAGGTACCATAATTATTCATATAGTTTCAGGTGCCCTTACCCATAAACTCTTGAGCAAGTTGTTTCCAGGCTAACACTGAAATCAGTTTCCTTTGTGGAGTGCCCACATAATGATTTCTAAAAAGAAAATTACCATACAAAGTAAAATATCAGGTTTTTGCCCAACGTGGAACAGGAGTAAGGGAGGAATCTCAATATCAAATTAAGAAGTCCTTTTGCCCTGATTGGTACCACACTGCCTCCCTCAAATTGGCTATGTGGCATTCATGTTTTGCCAAACTTCTTTTGTCACTTGCAGACAATGTGCCCAGATGTTTTCCGTGGCCCTTGGGGAGGAGACCGCTGCCGAGATTCTCCAGTGCAAACAATTAGGAAATGCAGCTGCGCACCAGGTCCAGCTGGGCAGGGAGGGGGGCGCACGGTAGAAGGTCAGGAGGGCTGGGAGCCTGGAGAGAGGCTGAACCACTACTCGGTGGACACTTGAAAAACTGAGAAAGGGAAAAGTTCAAGGAAATAAAACCAGAAAGCAAACCCTTATAGTATTAGCACTTTTCACGGCAGCTATCACTGTGCTATCTGGCAGTCAGGGAATGCAACGCAAGCTGTCAGAGCCAAATGAAAAGCAGGCTATCACCTGGAACTTTGTTAGCCCTATTAGCAAGAGCTCTATCATAAATTTTTAAAGAAAACAAGGTTGGTGAGATTATTTGCCAAGTTCCAATGGAAGAAGGGGAGATGGAAAAGAATACTTTACAATCTCAAACCTCTAGACAAGCAGCTTCCCCAGGGACCCAGAATACCAGCCAAAATGAGAGCATCTGTCAAAGCATAAGGCCATTCCCAAAGGCTGCTGCCACCTCTTGCAATAGTTTTAAAGGCATTCTTATGGGGAAAGTGTCTATTTACCGATGGCATTTTTATTTGCATTCTCTACTTACTCTTAACTTGAGGGAGAGCAGGCCAGGAACAGCATCTGTTCTTTGTGAATCAGCAAGTCCCACTCCATGCTTGTCTTCCCAGTTCAGGATCTTCTGAACAGCTGCTCCTAAACAGTGCTGAAGGAAGGAACTAAATGCTCTGGTAAAGATCATTAATGGAAAAGTATGAGTCACTGGGTTGAGAGAAAGAATGCAAATGGGAGATGTAAAAATCAGCTTTGAAGGGAAAAAAAATTCACAGGCATCTTTAAATTCAGATGGGACTGACAGAATGAAGGTTGGAGGATGAAAGAGTGAGCATTGAGATGTGACGTCATGGCCACAGAACTTAAAACCCTAAGGAAATGTAAGCTGTAATTCAAACTCTCCATTTTAAAGATGAGGAAACTGAAGCCCTCATGAGACAGCAGGAAAACTAGGATTTGATCCGAAGTCTTCTGACTCCAAATGAGTCCTCCCAACCTATGACTGCCCTTATTCACCTTGATTTGGCCACAGGCTGAACCCAGGCCTAAAATAATTCCTGTTCTGCTGGCCAGGATCGAGGAGTTGCCTGAACTCAGGAGACCTGGATTGCACTCCCAGCCCTACTGTGGTTCAGCTATGGGCATCTGCTTCCATTTTCTCATTTATAGAATGTAGATAGCAATATCTGACCCCAGCCTCCCTGTCACAAGACTTCATGAAGTCATGGAAAGAGAGCTTTTTGTACAGGAAGGCAGATAACAGTAACGGCAGGTACAGCCACACCTGTGTATAGTATCTACACAGCATCAAGAACTAAAACTGGGTTGGTGCACCACATAGACTTTGATCGGATGGCAAAACCACGAACCAGAGCCCAGCAGGCAGAAGCACTCAAGAGATGGCCAACTCCTTCCCTCCCTGCTGTGTCCTGCTCCCTCGGGGGGCCTTCTCCTCTGCCTGAGGCCAGCCTGAAAATACCAGAACCCTACATCTCTCTAGTGGCATCTGGAAGCTAAATGACAGTGACAGACAGACGTTTCTGCTTCTCTGAACTATTGTCTTTGTTTCAGCTGAAGTCAGCTGTTCTCTTATCGCACATCTTTAGGATACAAGACCAATAGCACATCCTTAAACAGAAATGGAATTCAGAGAGGGACTTCAGCCCTCCCCGGCAACCTCCCAGCACTTCTAGGACCTGAGAAGAGTTTGGTCTGCTTTGTAAAAAGGTGTTTGATATATTTTACAAATGCATTCTCAACATGTAAAGTACTGTGTGTATAGAAGGTTCCAGTTCTCCATTCTTTTTAGTGTTTGTTCACTAGCTGCATACAAGGGTCCATCTTGGCAGACATTTTTTCATCTGAAAACTATGTCATCACCTCCCACACAGATTTTAGCAGGGGTCCATTTTGTGAATTTAATATAGAATTTTTTGTGGAAGATTTCATTGTCTTCCTCCAACCCCTTCTCAGGAATTTTTCTTTCCACGTGTTTGTTCTGGGCCCTGAATTTCAGATAAAACCTGTGATTAAATTCATCTCTCAACACCCACTGCCCCCACAACATCCCAAACCTGGTACCATTCATAACATTCTTCTTCACCTTTTCCAAGACAAGTTTTCTTTCCTTTAAAGATTGTTCTTACTTGGCACCTCCTCTGCTGAACCCTTTCTATTCCACCAGCGAAAATAAAACCCCTCCCATCTCTACTCTCTTGCTTGGATAGTAATCCAAGAGAGCACTACTCCCCACCCTCTTGCTGTTGTCATGGTGACACTGCTGCTTAAAGTCTGTCTCCAGAGGCAGCCTGACATGGAGTTACAGCCACGAGCCAATGAAGTACATGCGCAGTGAAGTAAAAAGATGATTACAGCAGAGGACCCCTCTCATCGCTGAACTTGTGGGCAGTGGGGGAAAAATAATCATGAGGGGTCTATGACAGGTTGAAGCCAAAGCTTCTCTTGGTTTGGCTTTGCCCAAATTTAAGCCTTAAGGTTGATTTTGTTCTACCCTTTGATTTCTCTAGTTATTGATGGGCTTGCTAAATTTCCACATTAGATGTTTTGAACATAGCATCCATCCTTCAGGGTCATCCTAGGTTGCTTTCTCTTCCTTTCTTGATGAAAATAGGAAATTTCAATCTCTAGAGGTAAAGATTTATCTGTCTGCTCTATCCTGTCTGTCAAACAGCATAAGTGATACTAACAATGTGCTTTTGATATCCTTTTCACTACTTCCTTCCTCACACCTCCAAGCACCAACTCCAAGTCACTGACGATACCTGATACCTCTATCAAGCAAGCTTTCCCCAACCTCACATGTAGCCTAAAAATATGCTTCAGGCCAGGTAGTGTTTTTCCCATTTTTTAATGAAGGGCTGAAGTATAAAATACATTTACACTTCAGTTTTTATGGAAATGACTGAAGGTTTCTCTCCTTACCTCTAGCCTTCAGGAGACAGGGCTGCACCCTCACCTCTCTGCAAGCATTAGGGTGAAAGGTGATGACCCACTTCAGACTGTGGTTGGCAGCTTCCATCACACTGACATCTCTCAGCATCCCTTCTGCTGTCCATGGATATGAGGCAGAGATGTGCTTTCTAGAACTGAATTACAGCTGTGGATAAAAATTTTCAAGTTTCAGTATGGAAGGATATAGTCCTTCTGGGACCTTTGGGATTCCAGAGGAGAAGACTTGCTGTAGTGGATGAAGATTATCCAGCTCTTAATACATTCCTCTTGGACTGAATTCTAATTGTTCTGTAAACATACTTACTACCTCTAAAAACGGAGACACTTTGTAGCTTTGTAGTAAGATTAAGTGGCAATGAAAGAGTTATTTTCAAATAGATTAATCCACTCCCCAATTACATTTGAATTAAATCTACCTACTTGAGAGGATGGATACCCTTAGTCAAAACAGTGATCTATACCAGACTCAGTGACACTTGGGGGCATTTCTTCCCTAGGAGGAAGACTGAAGTGTTCTGTTTATGCCTTTATGGCTTTGCTAGACTCAATGCTCCAACTTAAGTTCAAGTCATTCTGACAGATGTTCCTCCTTCCGAAATCCATACCCTAGTATCCTGCTTCACTGTATTGTGAGGGACTCTAATCAATTTACTCATCCTGTTTTCTCTTCTCAATGTTTTTACCCTTTCTCCTGTATGTCCCTCTCACATCTTCAAATGCTGTGTTTTGTTTGTTTTTGCAGACTGCTGCCAAGCAAAAGTTCAGTACATTGAACAGTTCAAAGATACTCTGATCACTTCTGTGGCCAAATCAATTGCTGGATTTTTTGCAGAGCCAATTCAAGTGGGTATATTGACCTTAGACATTTAGTGAGCTGAGTTTTAAATTATTGGAGAGTTTTAAGTCATACATTCTAGAGAATTCCAAATTATTTAAGTCGCCACTGCTATGTCCCTCTCCAAATTCAATTCAGTCCCTTGGTGCTCCTAAGAAAAGAGGGCCCCTAATTTTCCAATGACTTTTAAAAACCCATTTCCTGCATTCCCAAACTGAACAGATAGATAAGTGAAAGTATTGAACCCCTAAAATTCTAAAGGAAATGTCAGCAATTTCTAGTTGTTTAACACCCATACTGTCAGCAGTCTTTCTTCAGTTGTATCAAGTTCCCTTAATCTATTTTTTTCTAATCTCAGAAGAAAATAAACATTTGTGTCCTTTTCCCAAAATAAGTTAATGCCCCCCTTTCCACCTGGGTTTGAAATCATTCTGGAGATTGTTTTGAAAATTATTGGTATTACTAATGCTATCATATTCTTTCTTTTTTTTAAAGAGTTTCAAAGGGCTGTGCTGTTATTATAGGTCTTCCTGGCTTGGTCTTTTGCAGGGGGTGAATGGATTTGTTCAGTACCCAAAGGGGTTTCTAAAGGAAGCCTTCGAGCTGGTGCGAGAGAAGGGAGGCGTGTGCATTGTGGACGAAGTAAGTGGCCATTGAATAGTGGTGATGTGGTGTGGCCAGGATGGAAAAAGCACAAGGAAAAACCTCTTTAAACTCTCCTGTGTAGTCCAGGCAGAAAGCATCCAATGTGGGAATTCCAAGATGTGGGCATGCAAGTTAGTGAAGCTTTTGCTACTTGGCTAATTGCCTTGTGAGTAGATTAGCTGGTCCGTTTAAAGAGCACAGCAGAATTTAAACCCCCAAATTGATGCTGCTAACAGGCACAGGCAATGCTGCCAGCCCTCAACATCAACTTTTTAAAGTCTTATTAGGGGATTGCATCAGAGACAGCTTAAAAACCACACAGGATGTTAAATCCCATAACCAAGTTTTCATCAATCCTGAGCTAACTGGCTCAGTTGGGTTTTCCATATGACATAATTTTCAGGCAGAAAAGGCAGTCACAGAGAAGAGGATGGCCAACCTATCTAAGCCAGGCAGCAGGCGCCCCAGCCCCAGTTCACTGAGACTGTAGCTCCTGCTCAGTTCAGCCTCAGGCAAATGCTGTTTAACACCCATACTGTCAGCAGAGTCTTCAGAGCAAGTCTCTGCTCCTGCTGCCTTGACACAGGAGAGACTTACTAAGGCTTTGCTAATGATAATAATCCTTTCCACATGCATTATTTATCCGGCCCTCACAGCAGCCCTGTGATGTGTGGCTATTAGTATTTCTACTTAACAGAGTTAACTTAGGTTCAGAGGGCTTAAGAAATAAATCCAGAATCACACAAAGCTAGTAAATGGCTTTGGGTGCCTAAAAGCTCAGGCACAGATTAAGTGCTATGTCCACAGTAGTACAAGGGTGATGATGATGATGGCTGGCGATGCTGAGGAGCAGGAGGAGGAGGAGAGCTGAGTCAGAAAACAGCATTGCTTGAAAGGTTTCCAGTGATTTGGGATTGTCTCCATCAGGTGCAGACAGGATTCGGAAGGCTGGGCTCTCATTTCTGGGGCTTCCAAACCCATGGAGTCCTGCCGGACATTGTCACCATGGCTAAAGGGATTGGGAATGGCTTTCCCATGGCAGCAGTCGTGACAACTCCAGGTAAGACCTACTGGCAGTTTGCATTGGCTTCTGAGCCTCCTGCAGCAGAAAAGGTAGAAACACATGTATTAGGACGTGTGTGGGAGGGAGACAAGGATGGGAACCACACTGCTTCTCCCAAGCAATGAGCAAGAGAAACAGTCTGTCTGCCAGATTGCAGAGCAGGCAGAAGAAAGCTGGCCCCACTTTGCTCTTGCTGTAGGAAAAACTAATTCTACCATCCCCACAGTGGAATTCATGGTGCTACCACACTGACAAGGCATAGGAAAATGTGCCACAAATACAAAACCAACACAGGAGATCCTTACTAATCTATCCAGAGCCAACCATGAAATTTTCAAGGGATGCATATTCTGGAAGGAAACTCTTCCCTGATCTTGCCACACCAATAAACTGTAGACTCAAGGTACAGAGGGAGTTTCCTCTATTAGCCAAAATTATCATCAATAAAATAGCCAAATATGGTACAATCTCACTTAGCCAGAACATTCTATAAAATGAACACAAGCATTAAGTGTATTTTTGATTTAGTAAGATGTCACAGGAAATTATTTTTATGAACCATTTATTGTTGAAAACCTGAAAAATTATTTCATTTGCTTTTCCCACCAATAGTAAGCACACTTCAGAAGCACTAAAGGATATTAAGTGTCTAATAATATCTGTGATTTTATTGAATTAATAATGCATGAATATAGAAGATAAAGTAAAATGGCCTAAATATATACTCACCCTGAAACAATCCAGAAATTATGTTACTAAATCCTTGCTGTGAAATTTTAAATATATATATATAGAAACATATAGATATATGTATATATTTCCTTCTTTGCCCCAAAAGTATAATACAGTCAGAAGGTTTAGCTTATGAAGGTTCCACATAAATTCTCATAAATCAAGTTTTAAGGTACTTTTCAAATCACTTAACACATTAAAGATTCTGTTATCAAACTTCTCATTGAGTAACAAGCAATTTTCCTTATCCACTACTAATATCACACAGCTAAGGCTACCGTAGCAATATACCACAGACTAGTTGGCTTAGAGAACAGACATTTATTTTCTCATAGTTCTGGGGACTGGAAGCCCAAGGTGAAGATGCCAGCAGAGCTGGTTCCTGTGGGCTCTCTCCTGCAGATGACCACCTTCTGATGCACTCTCATATGTCCCTTCTTCTTATGAGGACACCAATCCTATTGGATTAGTGCCCCACCCTTATGACCTCATTTAAGCTCAGTTACCTCCCCATAGGCCCTATCTCCACATAGCCACATTGGGGGTTGGGGCGTCAATGTAAGAATCGGTGGGGAGACATGATTCCATCCATAACATCCACTGAAGAATGAATTGGATATGATGCCATAAAATATATTATTCCTATAAATACAACATCCAAGTATATATAATCCAAATGGTGTGATGGGAGATTATAGACAGGATGTGTCGCTTTTTCTCCCCCTAGAGATTGCCAAATCTTTCACTAAACGCCAATTTCACTTCAACACTTTTGGAGGAGGCCCCATGGCCTGTGCCATTGGATCAGCCGTGCTTGAGGTATGTGCCCACAGCCACGTTACCAGCACTCATTTCATAAAGGGACTTCAAGACCATGCTCACATTATCAGAACTCTGTCATGTTACATTAGTAAAGTGAGAGTTAATTACTAGTCCATGAATTTAAGTTAGATTTTTAGTTAATTCTGTTATCAAACTTCTCATTGAGTAACAAGCAATTTTCCTTATCCACTACTAATATCACACAGCTAAGGCTACCGTAGCAATATACCACAGACTAGTTGGCTTAGAGAACAGACATTTATTTTCTCATAGTTCTGGGGACTGGAAGCCCAAGGTGAAGATGCCAGCAGAGCTGGTTCCTGTGGGCTCTCTCCTGCAGATGACCACCTTCTGATGCACTCTCATATGTCCCTTCTTCTTATGAGGACACCAATCCTATTGGATTAGTGCCCCACCCTTATGACCTCATTTAAGCTCAGTTACCTCCCCATAGGCCCTATCTCCACATAGCCACATTGGGGGTTGGGGCGTCAATGTAAGAATCGGTGGGGAGACATGATTCCATCCATAACATCCACTGAAGAATGAATTGGATATGATGCCATAAAATATATTATTCCTATAAATACAACATCCAAGTATATATAATCCAAATGGTGTGATGGGAGATTATAGACAGGATGTGTCGCTTTTTCTCCCCCTAGAGATTGCCAAATCTTTCACTAAACGCCAATTTCACTTCAACACTTTTGGAGGAGGCCCCATGGCCTGTGCCATTGGATCAGCCGTGCTTGAGGTATGTGCCCACAGCCACGTTACCAGCACTCATTTCATAAAGGGACTTCAAGACCATGCTCACATTATCAGAACTCTGTCATGTTACATTAGTAAAGTGAGAGTTAATTACTAGTCCATGAATTTAAGTTAGATTTTTAGTTATCATTTTACCCCTTCCCTCCTTTTTTAAGATCTACTTTGGGTACTAGAAGGATTGGATACAAAACATAATATAATAAACCTCCAGCAAATGAGAAATAAAAGAATTTCCTTAGCTATCTGGTAGCACTGAAATTTTCTTTGTTATTTGAGTGGTATTTTATGGGTAGTTACCAACAGATATCCTTGATTTCAAGTAAATTTTGACCGTGTCTTGTAGATGCTTCCTTCCTTTTGTTGTACAGTCAGAAATGTAAAGTCTAAAGAGAAACAGTTCTTTGTGAAAACAACTAGGTGATTCAGCTACTGTTCAGCCTCATCCCAGGGGTTTTGCCTGGGTCTCATCTGTTGAAAAATATCTTTAAATGCCCTTGCTAATATACATACTAGCATTTGTTTAAATAAGTATAATGTATTAGAAGAATTTCCAAGAAATTAATAACAGTGGTTGTTTGTGGGAAGGGAAACTTGGTGGCTGGGGGTAGGGGTCAGAGAGGATCATTCTACTGTAGACACTTTATACTTTCTGGTTTAACCAGGCACATGAATCACCCATTCAAAAAAATTGAATTTAAAAATATTTTTAAATAAAAACAAGTAAAAGCTCCCTTTGCAAATTAAAATGGATCTTCATCTATGATTAAATCATGGAATGAGAAAGCATGGGCAGGAATGTGTGATTTATTTCATTTTGTAGACATTGCCAAATGTTTTTGAAGTGCTATGTCACCCCAACCCATTTGGAAAGCACAGACATTAAGGTGAACAAACAGGTCTTAAAACCATCAAGATTTGCCTTGAGTCCTGCAATTATTGTTGGCTAAATATAAATACAGTATATTGCATGTATCAAAAAACACAGGCCTCTGTTTGCATGGAAATAGATGAAAATCCTCTTGTATCTGCAGTGCCCTGGGTCTGGGCCCACACAGGGCTCCACTCAGCCCAAGAGGTAGCAGCCCTGCAGCGAGGTGCTGGGGTCATGACAGCCTGGGTCTGGATGAGGGCTGCTGGACAAGGGTCAACCAGCTCCCGATGGGGCAAGCATCTGGAAAATTCCTTTCCTCAGAGCATTTGTCTTCTTCACCACTGTATCACAGTCCTCAGCAAAGCCTGGCAATAATGACCCTCAGGATTATGGAATCCATACAGGCTACACTGAGATGTGTCTTCTGTTCTCTCCTAAATTCTCAAACTGCCCCACCACTGAAGATGAGGATGGAAGGGGAAAGTATCCCCTCTACCAAGACTTTTTTCTTCTTATAGCAAATCTTTTTGAAGTACATGGTATGGCCACACTAGACTTTGGGTTCTACTTACTGGTCAATTTTCTGTAAAGAGTTTTCATTTATGTTTCAAAGACATTTTATATACATCTACCTCTCTATGTTTCTTAGTCAGCTTTAGATCTTTTTATATGAGGTCATTTGGGGCTTTCTATCAACAGGTGATTAAAGAAGAAAATCTACAGGAAAACAGTCAAGAAGTTGGCACCTATATGTTACTGAAGTTTGCTAAGCTGCGTGATGAATTTGAAATAATCGGAGATGTCCGAGGCAAAGGCCTCATGATAGGAATAGAAATGGTGAAGGATAAGGTAGGTCCTGACCTCCTGCTCTCTCTGTTGCTTCTTGGGGATAGTAAGAATTAAAGCAGGAAGCATCAGCTGCAAGCTCACTTCATTCATTCTCAGGAGAGGACACACAAAGGCAGCAAGACTCGGCAAAGCCTGTTAGAGATGTGCAGGGAGCCCTAGAGTGTGAACAAAATGCTGGCAGGTTGTCCAGACTTCTAGAGAGGTGGGGGCAGGGAGGCAGCATCTGGAAAAGGGAACTGATACGCTTCTTGCCAGACTAGGCAAAGAGCATCTGTGATGACTGAATAGAATCAGAAATATGGGAAGAGAGGAACTTATCTGGGGAGGTGCAGGGGGCCCAGAGTGTGAGTGCAAGTAAGGGAGAAGAGCCAGGAGAAGAGCAGGGACAAGGCTGTGGTGATGGTTTGGAGTGAGGATGTTAAAGAGCTACAGGGTTTTGTGTGAGTGTGTGTTCGTTTGTGAATGGATTTCAGTCTCCCGAGTAACCGGGGAAGAATGTGACTTTCTGATGACATTCCCCACTGTGACCTCAAACTTAATGTAACAGTTGAATTTAGCATTTTCCCCAGACCAATTATTCCTCCCACATTCACTCTTTCCATTTCTTACCCTCCACTGTTACCTACCCAGCTTCAAAACCACAAACTTGTCTGTGACTCCTTGTCTTCCCTTTTTTCTAACATCAAGTCCCATTGATTCTTTCCTTTGCCACGACTCTCAAATCCTTTACTCTGTTTCTACTGCCGCCCCTACGGTCCATGTCAGAAGGAAAATATCCCTCCCCTCCATAAAAGCAAAGCCTAGAGCCTCTGAGGAGGGCAACAGCATGAGAATCTGGGCACCTAGGAAGGGACAGTCAGACTGACCCCTTCACCCTAACCATTGTCCTAAGATTAACCCAGCTCGTCTTTAAGTGGCCTCTGACTGTATGCTCTCCCACAGCATCCTAGTGTAGGAGGGTTATGCTCAATTATTTTAGGACTCATACCAGACCATGGATAAAAAGCTCTTCAATTAATACCACACAGAAGAGCCAATATAAAGCTGAAATGCTTAAAGATTTGAAAGCTAAGGGAAAACAACAGGAAAATAAGAGTGTGAGAAGACGAGGCTGCTGGCCCACAGGCCAAAGCATTATCTTCAGCTGGTGGCCCTGACAAAGGCTGTTCCAGGGCTCGGAAGAGTCAGTCCATCCTAGTCCTCAGCCCAGGAGCTCCCTTATAGGTGTCTAGACCACAGAGGAAAGCACAACAGGAGAGGAGAGGTTCAAATCCAGCTTCTGCACGCTCAGACATGTGAGCAGAGCTGTGCGTCAGGACTCGATCTGTTGTGGGGAACCAGGGGGGCCTCCCAATGGCCTTTGATACAGAACAAGCTCCATGATGCTGCATCCATATTACAATGGCAGAGATACACATGTGACATGGGAAAATGTGCAAACTGGATTATGGAAAAAACAAGTTATAAAACAATATTTATAGAATGAGCTCTTTTCCTCCTCTTTCTGCCATTTGGTAGTTACAAGCCTGGGCTCTGAATGCAGACCACCCAGATGTAAACCTCAGCTCTCCCATTCCTTGGTTCTACTCACTGTCCCTTCAATGCCATTCACTTTCCTACAACCAAATGTCACCCCAACTTTTCCCCAAGCATGGAATACAGTTCTCTCTTCCCTCTCTCTCCCTATGGAAATGCTAGCCTTTTTAAAGATCTAACTCTTCATCACACCTCCCCTTTGTTTTTCCTGTATGCAGGGGTTCCAGGCTACAGAAACCCACTAGCGTTCACTGTCTTAAGAGCTCCTTTGAAAAGATCTTTCAAGCCATATGTTTGTTAACTTAATTCTCATGTGTAAATAACCTGTTTTCCTAAATAAGCTGTACACTTTTGAGGCCAGGAAACATGCAGATGGTTAGAGCTTTATAAGTTTGTTGATTGAGTCCAGGCTCTTGCAGCACTTTGAACCACATTTATGTGTTGTAATAGCTCATAACTTGACTATAATGCTATCCCTCATAACCCAAAATTGAAATTCTCTTACCCTGTGAGTGAGGAGGTAAATTGGTACAGCCCTTTGGACAATTTGCCTACATCTATAAAATTTTAAATGTATGCCTTTTCACCTAGAAATGTATCATAAACACTCACAGAAACATGTGAAGATATATACCATCATATCGAATTCACCGAGTATCATAATTCCTCCAAGTGGTAAAGATACCTCAAGACAAATGCTGGGCATAGAAGCCACAGGGTATAAATCTGCAAAGAAGTAAAAAGCTAACCTTTTCAAACAATATGGCTTCTCTCTCACTTACCAACTTCACATTTCCCTGTATGGCCCCGGAAGATGACTGGTTAGCCAGAGACGGGTAAGATTCCTCAAGGGAGGAACAACCTAAGACAGGCACAGTCGCAGGGGGGCCATCAGGTGAGAAATTGGGATCAACAGAGGTGAGGCTTAGAACCTCACCCCCCCCCATT